TACTTCTTACCAGTTAACCATTTATTCAGTGCTGATGCAGACGAAACAGCAGAAAGTGGACCACAGCTGAAGCAAGGTGCAAGGATACCAAGTCAGGCTCACTACAAATACTATAGTTTATTCATGTAAACGAATCCAAATGTTAGTCATAAAACTGCACACCACCCATTTGGGGGTAGTGATACTTCATTTCTTTTTCTTATGCATCTTCTTTGTTTATTTATTAATTTATATTTTCATCTATGTATTAATTAATTGTTTTCTTGCTATCCTTGTTAGCATTTGTTAGCTAGTAAAACAAACCTTAAAGCTAACTATTCTCTGTTACAACAAGTCGGACTTTAAAACCAACACTTACCACATTTTAGGACATTTTCATATTCCCCTGAGCTCTTCACAGGAGAAACATGTTTAATTTCTCATAAAATACACCCTTTCCCCCTTTTTCGTCTGTTTTTTTGTCATAATAAAGATGGCTGCAGGCAGACCACAAAAAAAGAAATGTGTGGCGTGTTCAAGAAAACACAAAATACCCACCTAACAAAATTCATTAACCTGATTTTTTGAAGATTTCACAGTTTGATAATTATACAGTCAAAGGTTCTGGAAAAAAAACGTTTTCAAGACCTGCCGTAATTAAATCTGCACAGCGATAAAACGTAAATAAAACATCTCTGCCTTTGTGTGGAAGCCTGTTTTCCCCATCAGTGCAGAACATTTCAAGGTACTATCTTAATATTATTATTTCAATACTAATCTGAAACATGTTTATTGATGTCAGCTTCTAGGCTTAATAAACGAAAGTACGGATCCAAACTGATCGATCTAACTGCATCTCTGCTTCTGAATAAAATTCAATATAACACTCTACTATTATTTCTTTTTCTACGTCAGCATACAATGTGCTGTGGTCTTCCCACTATTACACAGCATTTAGTATGTAGCACACTGAGAGTCTATTATTTATTTTACTACAGTCTTGCAAGTAATATACCTACATATCTTGTAAAATGCTGCCATCCACTATAACTTGTTTTAAATTAAGTGGCTGGTGTATTCCCCTCATTTGGCTTACCAAGCTCTGCATCCAAAGTAACAACTTCTTTTTTTATCCTCTTACCTACTGTGCTTACTAGGTAGTGTTTGCTGCTGTCATTCTGAAGTTGGCAACATGCAGAGCACTGAAAATTGTTTTACTGGCAGAGATTTAGATTTTTCCATTACACAGCACACTTGTTGCCAGGGTAGATTGTTAGAAACGACCCTTATTGGCTATATATCGTGAAAGAACACCCGTTTTTATTCTGCACAAGCAACTTCTTTTTTCTCTGTCACTGCAGCACACTATAATGAGTTTTGTTGTCTGTCATTAGACTCACACGACAGGGTTCATGTTCAATTCATCCGTGTAGCATAGTGTATTTCTGTAATGCCTATCAGCAGATGGGTCGTCGACCTGCATACTTGCCCAGGCTGAGGTGTGTAGAGGCACAAAGGGAGCAGCAGGAGCAGATGGGAGCGAGATGGATGACAGGATGATGAGACAGAGCTGTGTACTTAATATTTAACCAGTGAAGATGCATGCTGCTCCTCTCAGGAGGGGAGAGGAGAAAATGATCACAATGAAATAACACTGATTGTAGGGATGCTGGAATCAAAGGTAGAAAATACTGTGCTCAAAAGAAGCATCATGTACTGAGCTATACTCAAATTATGATGTACTGAAGTATCTTTTAGGTTGTAAGAAACTTTAGTTAAAACGCACACATACACACCAAAAAAGACCAGTATAAACCCTTTATTGTAGATTTGCTGCCCCGTCCTGTTGTATCACCCGATTTGAGCCAAGCTGTTGAACATATGGCCTCACCAAATAATGTTTGGGTATTCTACTTTGGTAATTGGTAAGGTACTTGGAAACAGTAACTGTATACTTACTTTTTCATGTACTGCATAGGATTGAGAGGAAACAATGAAGATAAATGTGAACCGTTTTGTCTGGAGGTTTGTTTTTTTTTGTATAATGTGATGCCACAGTAAGATTAACCTTTATTGTTTGGAATATAAAATGCCATCACTTTATCATACTGCTCAGTAAATTTGACTAAATTTGTGTGAAATCACGCTTTGATTTGCGCATGAATTCTTGAGTTATGACCAAAAACATGTTTTGTGGAGCCTGTTGAGTTTTGACAACCAAATAAAGATAATTGACTTAAATCTGTTATTCCTCTCTGCTATCCTTTTCATGCCATTTTTCCTGTTAGCTGACCTGATAAATACAAAAACCAGATCAAGGTCAATTCATTAACAAATAAATGGTAATAAATGTACAATAACATATGGTATAATAATGAGATATATAGATTTTAAAGAAACCTCAATACATACTAAATGTCCATCCCACAACATAAAACCAACAGAAATGACATCATCACTGTTCCCCACCCCAAGATTTTGAGTAGCTACACTTCACCTTCCACAAGTTATGGGGGAAATTTAGAGAAAACTATTTCCAGACATTAATTATATTGATAATTAGGTTTTAATTAGTATATATTCACATGTACTTTGAATATTGTTTTTATTAGCTTAGAATTAGCAACATTATAAGCCAAAGTTGTTTTTATCTTAAAGGAGGAATAGTTGGTTGTTTGTACTCTGTGACCACTAAATCCTACACACTGTTCCTTTAATATGAGAATAACTTTGAATGCTAATATGTAAAATCACTCTGTGGATAACATAACACATCACACAATACTTTATTAATCCCAGAGGAAATTATGTGTTCACAGGTGCTCCACAGTGGATCTCAGTGACGTCGATGTATTTATGGGTAACTGTGAATGGAAGCAGTTTACAGTTGGTGCTGATGACTTAGCAGGGTGCAGGGTGAAGAAATGTTTATGAGCATTAGCTGCACGGTAGAAGATTAATGGACTATTTATGCATTTAATTTGGATGTAAATTAATAGTAAATTTACGGTATGGCGTTGCAAGGATGTGTAGAAGATGATGTTTTGCAGCAGCGCCCCCAGCTGAGAATTACCTCAACTACCAAAGTAGACTGCTCTTCCTCCTGGCTTTTTTTAATAATCAAAATATGCAAATCAACAACCAAACCAACGGGAAACTGGTTTTTGCAGACACGGATTAATAAAAGTCCCATTTAAACATCCACTGGAAAGCCACATCAGCCTCACACTGTGCCCGGTAAATGCCTTATGAAAACCACTTGTGGAATCATCCAAATCAGTGTCTAATGCATGCTCTGTAGTAATCAGAATTAAAAACAGGCCCAGACATAACAATAAGGAATAGAGCCAAAAGAATAACCTAATGGGAAGATTAATACTTCTGAGATTAAGATAATACTTCAGGATAGTACTTTTGCTTGCACTGTCCCTTGGTCCTTACTAAGTTATAACTTTTTGGCTAAGAAGAGCCAAGAAGTTATAACATACAAAAAGCTGAAATTAAACAGTGTTGCAAACAATGAAAAGCATCCATTGATGCTACCATCTGTGCTTGTCCCTAGCCCCAGCATAGGATCATCTACATGGAGCTACATGCCTTTGAGTACTCAAAAGGGTGAAAACCCCTTTGCATAGGCTCAAATGGAAACAAATGCAGAAACAAAGTATTACACCATATATAAAAGATGGACTTAGTTATTGTGAGATCACAGTTAATCTCTGCAAGAAACTTGCAACACGATGCATGGTATCGGTGCAGCTTGCAACGACGTGGCAGGTTGTGGTGTTGGGTTAGGAGGGCTTTCCAGTTACCTTGTTACTTCCGACAGAAGTCCAACTCACACATTAGGTCTTCTTGCTTTGGGCTGTTTTTAGTCAACTGAATGATGAATGTATCTGGATCAGAGGGTTCAGCTGGGAGTTATGCTAGCACTAGTCATCTAATTTTGGTCATGGGCTGCTTTGTTAATTCACTGTGATAGTGAATGTGATGCTATTTCGGACTAGGAGAAAACAGAAACTGAACAGCCAAATCCTTAAGAGTACCTGTGTGTCATACAAGAAGCTACAGTCTAAATGATGCATTACCTTTAACACTTCAGTTCAGTAAAAAAGTAAAGCACCCACGTGGAGTTAAAATAAAGAGGGAAATTAACTTCAGAGATTTTATTGTAACTCATTTTCAAAGTAAGTCCACATGCCAAAGTGTACTTTTACCACAGCTGAGAGCATCTGTAATGCATTTTGATGTATTTGTTCTCTGACCTTGCTGCTAAAGAAAGTAACATCAGTCATTCAAAATGTCAGACTGCAGGATCCCACAGAAACATTCTGTCTCTCACTGCCACGAAGAGGTTTAAGTGAACAGAAAGGAGACAAGGAAAAAAAAAACATGCTGATTCCAAGTCACCTTTGATTTATTCAGTCACCTAAAATAGTACATTATTCATTTGTTGCTCTTTTCATTGCAGAACCTTTTTGTCCCCAGGTACAGCAGCCCAAAAACCCATTTCACCTTTTAAATGCCTTTTCCATTGTCAAAGGATTCTCAATGCAGTGAGCACAATGAGTTTATCTGTTAAATTCAAAATGGTGTATAAGCACAATAGCCCAAATTTGCTTTTCCAATTATGAGACAAAGCAATAATTACTCTGGACTAAGCTGCCTTCAAATAAGCCTCAAAGAGAAGTAGCTTGCATCATTATCATAATAAAGAAAATCATCCACTGGTAAAATTGACAGTTAATCGAATTAAACTGTTTCCTCGAAACCTGGAAAGAGCTGGTTATGTATGAACCATCACTGTGTTACAGAGGTGAACCCACTTTTTAGGAGAGAATGTACACCATCACCCAGAAAAATCCCTTCTTGGTCGACATTAAATATGACCTAACAAGATACTTTTCAGAAACAGCTACTTACAGTTGCAGACAAGGATAATATGAGGAGGGAAAACCTGTGTGGTTGTCAGGGAGAAAACTGGAGCGAGAGAGACCATCGACTCTTATAAAGACCCCCCCATTTAAATACAAAGACATCCCAAAACGTTCTTTTTTTTTTCCATCTGAGTTTATGTTACACAAAGACTTTTCTGTTTGTGACTCTGCATTTTAACAGTTCTGAATTTGACAGACAACCCCTGATCTGCATTCAAAAAGCATCATAAACATATGAAGCTACTCCATGCTACTCCATCGTACATCAATCGGGCTATTGAGTGGTAGAAACCTTCATTTAGGGAACATGTGGTCTGTCAGAGACAAAAGCTCTTCAGGTGGTTTGTGGATTTATGCCTCAGCGGTCGTAGGAAGAACTCTCACAAACAGAGTTTTGGTGTCAAGAGATTTGACTGAAGAATCAGCTGGCAGCTCTGGAAAACAGAAGTATTTATGGATAAAATTACATTTGAGAAGAGCAGTTTTTAAAACTTTTAAAACCCTACAGCTAAGGAAAGTTACTTTGCTTTATCAAAGCAGTTAAAAGAAACTTGGTGTCTTTCAGGAAAATGCTTCGATTTTTTTAAAATGACAATGCACTAACTCGTGTTTTATACTTGATTTGGACGTCCTACTGGTTACAATAAAGAATACACAGCTTAGCATCTCACAACATACACAACTAGAATCGTACAGCTTTCCCTACAAGCTGAAAATCTTTTTTTAAAAATCTGCCTATGTGCAGATTTGCAAAATCTATTCCAGTCACAGAAGCCATTTTTCTGCATGTACTACTAGGTACTGAGTAGTATTTTAAGGAAAATCTGGCAAATACATTTACATGTTTTTACAAACTTTTCATGAGAACGTGTGGGAGGAATCACCGTATCTCTATCAGCCATTAATTGCCTTAAAATCTGTTTCAGTGATGGTTTTAGTGATCTTTTTTTTTTTACCCTGGGTAAGGTCCTCATCCAGGTAGAGTTTGAGCCGCCTGCTGCGGAGGCCAAAAACTTTGGCAGTCTCAGAGAGCAAGCCTTCGTGGTTAAGCCGATTCTGGCCTACTGGGTTGACCAGTAGGAGGGTACCCACGTCTCCTGATTGGCACTCTAGAAGAGATAGGGAGGGTGTTAAAGAGAACTGTACCACATGTTACATCATTAACAATGTTTTTTATTAGCAGGGATAGTTCTGTCCTGAGAGGGCATATATACAAGCTTCAGCTGGGAAAAGATGAGGAAAAACATCCTGGCTAAGTAGAAGGGAAAGGTGAAAGGACAGACTGAATGACTCAAAGGATAAAGTTGGATTATACTCAATTTCCTGCAGTAGAAGCAAAACTGCATCATAACTGCACAACCAGCATGCATGACTTGGAAGAAATGGAAGAAAAACCTAAACACAGCTACAGTTACTCCTTGTCAATATCCACTTAAAATAATAGGAATAACTGTAATGTTGACAAGAAATCCATCTACATGGTAGTTGATGGTAGCGATGAGGAGACAGATGCCACTCTGTCTCCACCAACAGCTGGTTAACTTACAAAAAAAAATGAAAAATGATCTTGATGAAAAGTGCTATACAAATACAGGCCATTTACCATTTACCATGACCATTTGCCTGTGGTGCTGATGACCACAGGCAAGCACTTTACCATTTTTAGTTTTGGTGGTAAGCTAATTTAAGTGGCTGTGCAGGCACAAGTACAGAATAAATGAATAAATATATGAATCAATGTTTGAAGCCCCAGTGGAGGAAATTTGGTCTGGAGCAAAATCAATGTCAAACTTTTCATTTAAAACTAGTTCAATCTCGAATATAAATGCAAATATAAAGAGGACAAAAACAAAACAAAACAAAGAAAATCCTCTCAATATTTCTCTCAAATAAAACGTCGGTCAGATGAAGATTTATTAGGATTAAACTTTAGGAGTGAGAAAAGCGTGTTGTGCACATAAATTCAGTTTCTGTGGCTGCTTCTCTTACCAGCTGGCTGAGCGTTGCATAGTAGAAGGTTTACATAAGGACACGCGATGGTGTCGGTGGAGGGGGCGGGGCCAGGTGACGCAGTTCCCGCAGTCACTGACAAAGTTTTACCAGTCAGAGTCTGCACGTCCGTTTTGCTGGTCAGCTCTGTGAGAAACAGACAGTTACAAATATACATATGTTTCATGATGATTTGTGAAATCTATAAAAACCAACAAGTCCTCAGTCACACAGAGTTAGAGATCTGGTGGATACCCCCTGGCAACCACCTGTAGCTAGGGAGCAATGCTTATTCTCTAACCAGTCAGTCAGTGGTTGTTTCACCCTGCCTGCTGCTGGATAAAATGAAGGCAAGGCAGTATTCGCTTTAGGTTTGCATCACAGTTACTGCTTAGTGAGTAGCTGTCGAGTGTTTGCAGACAAGTCGGCACAAACTACGTCCATGGCAACCACAGCAATCACAACGAGGTCTCAGCACAGAAGACCTCTTTGTGGAATACTCATTTTTCCCTAGCGACTGGTGGTTGTCATGTACCAGTCTCTAGGCCTGCATGACTGGGGCCTAAAAGATAAAATTAGTTTAAGATTTATTATCACAGGATAATGGTTGATTTTACTGTTGTCATGATAAATGAAATCAAAAAACTGACTAAGCTCTGTTGGCATTTCTCGCATAATAAAGTGCTCTAGCTTATGTCAGAAGGCTTTATGAAATGTTTATTTTCTCTACAGTTTAACAGAAAGAACCATTTTATGACTAAATAATTAATTAATTAATTCTCTTTGATTTCAATTTGCTGGGGAAAAAAAGCACAATATTATGTTGTTTAATAATAATTTAAATGATCCTTACTCTTAAAAATAAACTGCTCTGCAAAGTGGAGTTTTACAGCGAAAGTTTTCTACACTGTGTGTAACTACCCGTGTTTTCTGTTATTTTTTACTGACATTATAGCTATGAAGAAGATCAGAAAAGTGGAAAAGAAAAACAGTCAAAATTCTGCAGGAAAAACTATAAAATTAAAAATGGTTAAAGTGCAGCACGAAAACAGCCAAAATAAAGGACCCAGAAATATATAAAAAGAAAAGTGAAATAAATGACAGATAAAATAACCGACTGGTAATAAAGGAAGAATTTTCATTGTTATTAAATATCTGGAGGTAAAAAGAAGATGTACATTTTTAAATAACATGATTAAATGTTCTCATAAAAAAGAAGGGAGTTTAGTTCTCACCAGTTCCGTCACTGAAGAATTTGAGCTGTGTGTTATTGGTTCCAAAGATGCTGCTGCACGCTCTTTTCAGCTTGTCCAAGTCTAGCCTGTTATCCCCTTTGGGATTCTCCAACAGCACTACACCCTCTGCACAAGAAACCAGTTCAAGAGGATTATTAACACAGCCAAACAGTTACTAAAAGTAAATCACAGGTAAGATAATGTTACTGTATTTATATTATAGTTGTATTTAATATTATATGTGAATTTGGTTGCACATATGTATAATCTCAATCATCAGCAGAGAATATTTATTTTAACTCTATTTAAAATTAGACAGTTACAGTTTTCCTGTTACACCACTTAAACTGGAGAAAAACAGATTCTCTCCCCATGTGCTACCTTGTTCTTTGTTGTTGACCTTCACCTGGAGGTTGACATATGTGCAAGCTGGTCCATTTAGAGGAGCCCGAGGGGCCGAAGATCCCTTTACTATGGTTAACTCCAGGTCTGAACCCTTCAGCTGCAACAGACATAGAACAAAGAGTGAAAGAGTCAATAGAGAAAAGCACACATAAGTTTCAGTCTCATGACAACTGCAACAAATATACTTAAGAGATTTGCAAGAAGGTAACCACTAAACACAAAGTTAAAAATTTTTTATTACTGTAACACCAATTTGAGTGCTCCTTGTGTATATTATGTATATGCTAAATACTTTCCAGCACGTTTCATGAATGCTTAAAGGTTGTGTCAGACTACAAGCTGCTACAAAACTCAGTCATATATAACCCTGCTTGATCTAAACGTATTCTTTTATACCTGGGTCTTTTCATCTATGATGACGCTGGCAGTTTTTGGGACAGGGAAGGGGAAAAGTGGAGCCTTTGTGGTAGCCAGGATGAAGTCAGTGTGAGCCTTGATCACAGAGTCCAAGTACTCCCCCTCTGGCTGGGAGCGGTAGTACACCGTTATCTCATCTGATGGCACCAAATGCCCCTAAGACCAGACATTAAGAGACAAGTGGCATGAGAAGTGAGAGTTTTCTTTATTGGAGCAGGTGAGTAAACAGGCTAAAAGTCTTGTTTCAGTGGGTCTTCAAACAACAGCACAAATCCAATGACTGCAAAGGACACAAAAAGTCTTTAGCACAAGTAACTCTCTTCAAAGTTTTTTTTCCTCCTTTATAAATAAATTACATCTGGAGGAAATGATTACCTGAAAGGAAGAAGGAGGCAAACAAAATGAAAAGATGAACAAAAGAGTAGAATAGCTGGATTAAAAAGCAGAGACCATACAGGAAGAAATAAAGGTGAAAGCAAACAAGGGGACATTTTTACTGGATGACAGCCCATTTATTTTGGCATCATATGCCGCAAACTTCCAATAACCTTGACATATTCAAACACATTGATCTAATCCTATTCTGAGTGTGCAGCTGGGCACACGCATGCACGGCCACACACACATGTACCAACAGTGTAGCACACACATTCTTGCAAACACGCCATTTGCAATATTTGGCTCATGGGCGGACAGACAGCCAGGTACAGAGAAGTCCATAAGAGGAAGAAGGTTTAAAGGGTCCTCCAAGTCAAGGTAACTGATCCTACCCTGATGGGGCTAGTACAGTGCACATGAGCCTCTGTATGAGTGTGTGTGGTGGGAAGGGGGGGGGGGATAAAGCAACAGATCTCTCCAGTTGGGGAACAGTCCATTAAAAATAAGGAAATGGTGACCCCTGTTTCTCAACTCTGCCTCCCACGCAAACAGTGATAACAGGTGCAACCCACCAAACTACTACCAAACATGTACAAGAATTGCTAAAAATTAATTCCCATCCACAGGGTGGAAAATTCCTGACAGATCTCAGTTTGAAATAACTGGAGGAATTTAACCTGGCAGGGAGCCAATGCACACCACTGCTATAGGGGGACGGAAAAAACTGTTTGTTGCTTGTGAAAACAAGGGGCTGTTGGCTAATCCGTCTTTACTCCCCAGACCACTTCAAAGCTCGAACATTAGAATCTGAAAGGGGCCAGACTGTAATTAAGCTTCCATTAAGCCTGCCTTATGATGGAGAAACCTCTAACTGTGACGCTGCAGTGGAAAGATTTCAAAACTGCCCGGACAATACAATGAGACATAAAGACGAATGGGGGGAGGACTGGGGTGACGGAAATATAACAAAAAGCAAAGTTTCTGTTTTGACTCTACGCTGCAGTCTTGAAACATCATCAGATTAACTAAAATGGGAGTGGTTTAAAGGACTATGATCATACATGTGAAAGCAGGGGATTGTTTAGTTTGTTTAAATAAAGGAAACATCCTCAAAAAGTTCACATCTGAAGCAAAACCACTCAAACTGCCTTAGTGGCATGTTTTGTTTTGCTGTTGCAACTACGTCAGGTTCTGCTTATTAAACACTGGATTGTAAAATTCAGGAGTGGTGTGTTATGTGTCCCTCTTGTTTCCACAGCTAGTAGTGGTCCAGAAATAAATGCCCCACCTTCTTGCGTAGTTTCTGAATGCGGTTGATGACCTCTCTGGCAACGCCTTCATCCACCATAGACTGATCTGGGGTGACATCCAACAGCACCAGGACCTAAATGATAACAGATCATGAGCAGAAGAGAAGAGGGGAAGATTAAACTCTTAGCAAAATTTATGACAGAACTCTCCTGATGTTTTTCTGTGACTTGAGATGAAGGTGGCGCTCTAATAAACAAGATTAAATTCTGGGGATCATAACTTAATATTTCAAACAGGTCTATCAAATTAAAAAAATTAAAGCCATTTTACATTATTATTACTATTATTTTATTTTAGATTAAAACAGCTGTTTGGGATAATATTTAAGCTGGAGGTTTAATTAATTTCATTAGTATTTATTCTAATCCAAGCTTTTATGTCTTTAAGATATGTCAGGTACTTTGATCCAGCAAATGTAGCTATAACTGTGAAAAATGTACATAGCACTGTCTGCACAGCAAGTTAACTGTGTGCTGTGTTTTCCAATAATACTCTTAAATAGAAAGAAACAATGAGGTGAAATGTGCTCGTCCTGGCATACAAAAACTGCCACAAAAACTGAATATGAGTCATAAAAAGAAAGTATTTCACACAAAATAAAGATCTTCAAGCATTACTAATCTCCTAATATACACATACAGCGGCCATGTTTTTTTCTACAGATGTTCAAATGCTTGTTAATGGAAATATCTAATCAGCCAACACTTTTTGGCAATTCATGAACAAAAATGCTAATGCCAGGTTGTTTCCAGCTGAGAGGAATGCAAAAGTAACTTAAATAAACCCTTGGTACAACAAAGGTATGCAGAAGAGCATCTCTGAATGCACAAAATATCAAACTTGGATTACAGGAACAAAATATTGCATTGGTTGCCACGCCACTCCTGTCAGCTTAGAACAGGAAACTGAGGCTGCAATTCAACAAAATTTGGACAATAAATGTCTGGGAAAAACACTGCCTCATCAGATGACTTTGAATCCGCTTCAACTTTTGGATGGCATAAATTACATGAAAACAAGGCTCCATCCTCCCTTGTATCAATGATTTAGACTGCTTATGGTGATGTGCATGGCATCGTTTAAACTGTTTAAATGCCACGGTTTACCCGAGTATTGTTACTGACCATGTCCATCTCTTTATGACCACAGTACCCATCTTCTGATGGCTCCTTCTAACAGGAGAACTCAAACAGCCTCCACAGTTACCAGATCTCAATCCAACAGAGGCCCTTTGGGATGCAGTGGAACCAAAGATTATCACCATGGATGTGCAGCCAACGACTCTACAGCAACTGTCTGATGCCATCGTGCCAATATGAACCAAAAGTTCTGAGGAATGTTTCCAGTCCTTTGCTGAATCTATGCCACAGAGAATTAAGGCAGTTCTGAAGGCAAAAGGCCGTTCAACCCAGCACTAGGAAGATATACATAAAAGCGCCAGTGAGTGTAATTAAATTACTTTAAAACTGAACCATCCAGTCCTTTACCTCATTGTTACAAACTATTACTTTGAAAAGGTTAACACTTAGAGTTGACAAGAGCAATCTTTAAGCAGTTAGTCTGCTATCCTATTGCCCAAACATTTACAGTGTCAAAATGTAAGACAACATCCAGGCAGCAGTAAAGGATATACTGTCTGCTTCTCATTTTATCATGGATAGAAGGAGAGAAAGATGAGTGAATGTACACATAAAACAATGGAGAAACAGAATATGAGAGAGAACAGAGCGTCAGACAGATGGAACCTGAAGAGTCAGTGTGAGCGAGTGAGCAACAGAGAATTAAAAAGCCAGCTCAGTAAACTGGTATTAAGCTGCAGCCGTGTGGCATGTATGCGGTTGAAAGAGCACTGATTAGAGAGGGCCTCTGGGAAATGCATATATACTGATTCCACTTAGCTGCGAAATAATTTCATACATCACACTCACAGTAAAGAAACATAAATGCATTTACAGCATGTGGCAGCTTGGTGTAGCAACAGCAGCAGAGTAGTTCTTTTTTTTTTAAGATCTAGTCACATTACACTGAGCACCTGAATATAGTCAACATCGACAGGTAGCCAATGCAAAGAGGTTGCAAGACCTCCTCCTTGCATTTTATTTAAACTTCACACGGTGGCCAAAATTCTACCTAATTTTACCTGTGCATCAGAGTGTGCTTCATATTGTGCAGAGCCTGAGCTCTGATCAAACGTGTACATCAGCCTCAGGTCCTCCTCATGGAGCTCATGACCATCCACCACTATGGAGCCTGCAAATTAAGCAGATAATTCATCATAAATATATACATTTAGCAATATAACGTTCATCAATTCCAAGATAAACAACGTTTTTGAGTATTTTAAGTAAGAAAATGTTGGTTACCACAAATCTTTTCTTTTCTAATCTCAATAAATAGTAATTAGTCCAACAACTTTTCCTAAGGATAAAAAAGGATGACATGTGGATTGTATAACCATGTTAAACACTATACTTAGTGTATGATTAAAATTATTGATAATAAATTAATGCAACAAAATATCTGCATTTCTATTCTAATATCTAGTTTTACAAGGATTACTCTGCTGGCAAGAGATAATGGATTATTTCTAAGTGTTTTAAAAAAGGTTTGCCATAATGATTACTGATGATTACTGATGTGTGTTGTGAATGAATCAAAGCTGGCTGCAGACACTGTTAAAAATGATTCAACCTATTTATATCTCTGTTTAAATAAATGTGCCCAATGATTTGGTGGAAGAGTTCATCTCCTGACAGGACTTCTAAAGGAGATTTGAGTTTTAATCACAATGAATAAAGTGCTCTCATTTATAACTTGAAATTTAATTTGTTTTCTTGTTTTCTGGGGTCTGGACTGATGTTTGTTTGTATTTTAATATTACTTAAAACTTAAGTCTTTCTAGCTGCATCCGCACTAGATCTGAGCTTTAAAACAATACCGCAAATGCAATCTGCTCAGGTTCATATCTCCATTTTGCCAGTGGCAGCAATTACCCATATCTCTGTTCTGACTAAAAACCATGACCGTGTTCTCCTGTCCTCTTCACTTTTCCTCACCCGGAGGCTCGGTGAAACAGTCGCTTCATTTCTCTCTAATCTGAGATTTCCACGCTTTAATTTCCTTTGTCCCTCCCTGCTTTGTTGCTGTTTTACATCTTCTATCTTAACCATTATTCTTCCACCTCATGAAAGTAATAGCATCAAAAGGTATAGGTTATGAATATTGGCCACAACCTACAATCACTTTCTAGCCTAACGGTCAATCTCTCGCTTTCAGAGTCATGGAAATTACACAAAAAGTTTAAAAGTGGACTCAACTCAAGTGTGAGCCATTAGCTTTTTTCCATGGTAAGATTCATTCACTCTGACTGTTCAGACAGACAAAATGCTCCACTTCTGTTGTTCATAGCTTCCGTTTAGTTTAATAGCAAGCAGTTTCACATCATGGCTTGTGTTCGATTTTAATTGATGAACTGTAACTTTGCAGTACTATAAACATTTTCTTCTTTCTGTGCCCTCTCTCCAACATTTTTCTACCATCTGTCTCTTTCCATGCATCGCTTCTTTCCGCCTCACAACTGGCTGGACTTCAAACATGCAAGTTATTGGAAATTTTAAGTTCCCACAGTCCAGCTGACCTCTTCTGCCTCCTTCCTCAAAGACTCTGGGGGCTCTCCTCATCTTTCTATAATTGGAGAGACAAGATACCTTGCATTGCTTTGATCCCTACCCTGTTCCAGACCAGCTAGTGTTTGGATTCAGAGGATAAACTGGTTTCCTCGTCGAGGATTCGTCGTTAACACTAACTGATTGTTCTTCACCACTTTATTATTTGTTTAGCAATATCACTGCCAGCTGATTAATAATTTGATAACACCGCTAGAAAACAAGCAAACATTAAAAAAAAAGATACATAAAGATTAAGTCAATACAGAACATAAGGCCGCTAATTTTCAGCAACACTGCTGAAACAATTTTGTGATTATTTACTTTTTAAAATTTTTAGTCACCTTTCTTCTGGAAGGCTTCAAGCTGTTCACTCGTGAGCTCCTTGATAGAAGCAGTGACGGCTTTGAAGGCCCCCTTTAATCTCTTGCCCAGCACCATGTGGTCTGGCTCGGCTCTCAGGCGGATACCATACTTGTCCTTGTCTGTTGAAAGTGTCAACTGTCGCACATTAAGCTCCTGGGGAATGAAGAATAGTCAAACACACCATGTCATTGTCTTTTAGTTGGCTGCAAAATTGTTAATATCTCACACTGGGGAATACAATGTCATCTGCCCAAGACTGATACAGGTACAAAAACAGTGTACAGTAGGTCACTCGTACTATGGATGTGCTTGGAACTCAATATAAAATTCACTGTAATGACATACCAACATCTTATTCTGCTATACTTCAAGCAAAACCTAAGCTAAAGTAAACTGTTACAGGGGAGTTACTGTACTTTTATTACTACTACACATATGATTACGTACATGAACACTCACAATGTACAAGATTTATAGACTCAAGTTTTGCTGTTAATAGAAGTTGACTGATAGATGATTGATTTATGCATCTCCTGACTGCTTGGATAAGCTGGCTCTCCTGGCGCTGTCGTTCCAAACAAACAGACAAACTGTGCAACATGGCTGAAGGGTCCTTGTCCAATCCCTTCTTTACTTTACTTTAAAAATGTTCATTCATTGCCCATTACAAAGGCTGTTCCCATTAGATCGGAAAGGAGCATTAATGTGAACCTGCCAATAAACTCACTGGGCTTCAGTTGTTAACAGAGAATATGGTTATGGTTTATTTATTTATGTAGAAAAACAAGCAGATACTTCTATTCAGTTGAAATAATACAAAAGTTAAAAACTTTATATACTAGTGTTGTAAAGGGCAAGTCAAAAATGATCACCATTCACTCAAAGAGTACATCAGCCCTGAAATCAAATAGTCAGTAAGCCAGTCAATCTGTAAATCTCCAATAAGCCATCCCCACTTTTCAGTCAATATTTCAGTTTTCAGTCAGGGGATCAGCAATACTTAATTTAGCCATACTGACACCCGCCCGGCCTTGCCATCCATTGGTCCAGTCAATCACAATGCTGTAGGTTGTGACTGAGATCAAGCTCTAGCACAGTTGACTTGCTGACAGAGAGCACAGATAAGCTTACTGTAGAGGGTCGATGTATAAACCTTAAGGGCACTGGGGGGTTGAAAATATAAGCTTACTTAAAATGGGATTCTATCAATGGGTTGATTTCACAAAGAAATAGCTCATTTAATCTTGAGGGTAAATATGGTTTTGAGGTTCTGTTAGTCTGTGTAGGGGAACGTGTGTGTGATGACTTAGTGTGCTGGTGCATTACAATGAAGGAAGCCTGTCAGCTCAAAAAAGCAACTCATTTCATATTTGACATAAAGCTCAGAGGAAACTAAGCTGACAGAGTCACCAACAAGACTGTCAACAAAGCAAAGCTGACCCAAGCTAAAATTCAGAACAAAATTCACAACAGCCAGTCTCACTCTGACTCCAACCTCTCCTCCCTGAATGTTAGGAGAATTCATTCAATTATATTAAATGTTTACCTGTTCCACAAGGACAATAAAAACATGTAAATCGGTTTTTGCATCTTAGTTAATCTTTCTCTTGCTCCTGAGTACTCGTCATGTCAGACACACGAACACTGGCCACAAAAAAGGTCAAACCTAAAACATAAAATATCTTTGTTGTGCTTAAAGATGAATCTATACTTAATGTGGTTTTATTGAAATTAAGAAACAATAGAAAAATTCAGCTTCCAAAGATTGTTTACCGGGCTGCAAGGCCTCCACTGCTCTCAATTCTGACTGAATAAACCTTGTTTACTGGCAGGAAAGCTAGAGGCTGACAAGGTTAAATGTCCTCCCCACCAGAAATAAAACAGAGTGATAGATAAGAAGTGGCTAGAACTAAGATAAAGCTTGGAGGATCCAGCAGAAGACGCAGCAGAAGCTCTTTTCTGTAAAAGTTGTGTTAATGTTCGTCAACGCAGTCATGTGGGGGGTTGAATCAATTTTCCAATTTCAAGAAACAAAGACGTACAAAATCCTGCAAAGGTGAGAACATTCTTCTCTATGACAGTACTATAATGTCCTCTTTTGTTGGAAAAATAAAAAGGTAAGGACTTCAAGGATTTAAAGACAATGGGGATTAGTCTGCAAGCCTGTTAAACACCTGAATTAATCCAGCTCACACCTGAATCGATCCTCACTGTCTAGTAAATAAGCACACACTGACATTGGTACACAGAAGACTTATGATATGCTCTTAAAAAAGAAAACATGCCTGTGATTGCACTTTGCAGTTGAGAAATGTGGCAACTAAGGTAGATCAAATGTTAAATAACATTTAGAGGCATGTGCTTCGCCCCTCTTTTTGCACGAAACAGACACTGAAATTTCAATTACAGCTAAAGATCCAAGTAGTGTGTGAACATGTACTCCCTCTGATGTTCATCCCCTCTATCAAATCAACAGCAGTGGCTTTGGAGTGTAAACACGGTTCCAGGGATGTTTCTCTTTAGATTATAAGTTAAATAGTACTGATCAAAGCACAGCAAAGCATCAGAATTACAGGCTGGGGAAAACCTTTGCAAGAAAGTGACAAGAAAATACCCCCTCCAACAGTGCATGAGTAAAAGCAAATCAATCTCCCCAATTTACCAAAAAACAAAACAAAAGAATGCAATATGAATACACAATACAATATAAATGTTTGAATGGTTGGGTGTTCTATTTACTTTTTCTAATTTACTTACTTCAAGTATGTATTTCTGCAGTGACTCAATGTCCTTCAGAGCCTCTGGGTCCTGGTGGATGACTACAACCTCCTTCAATGGGTACTGTAACACAAACCAAAAAGCTAAAACCAACATTAAAGAAAAAGCATGCACAATGCAAACTAGCATACACCTTCAGCTACATTTAGATAATGTAGCTGTAAAGTAAAATACCAATTCATCATAAACCTTGTTACAGTATGAAAAGTAAGTACATTTTGACACAGGGTCAATCTACTGCAATTACGAGAAAATGAGCAACAAAAAACAAAACTGCAATTCTTAAATCCTGTGTTTGGCTATATATTGGATCATTTTTTTAAAACAGAACTTTCTATATAGTATTATTATTATTATTATTATTATTTACATTTGGACAATTACATCTGTTGAGTCTTCTATGATTTTTTTTTTTACCCAAATTCAATAAAGAATACTACTACCAAGAAAAACAAACATAATATGGGAGTAACTCAGGAAATGATCCAGCACCTGAGTCAGACATGGTCCATATTACATCACATCTGATGGAATCTGACTGTGTTTAAATTGTGTCTCTTTGTTTTTCTGAATTCATTTCTGTTTTTGGCAGCTCCAATGGTGCTTTTCAAATGAAGTCCAACATTTTATCTGAAAGAGCCCTCTTCATAAGCTTTCAATCACATCACAAGAAGGCAATGGATGAATCTACTGATAAACAATGTAAAATGTGCATGAAAGTCCTGGAGAAATGAAGTACGTGACCATTGAGTAAAGACTCTTCTTGCCACATTTTAAATCATGTTTCCTATAGAGTAGATACCATGTAGATCCCAGTGGATTACAGAAGTGGATAGGGTCAAAATGGTAATCTACCTTGACAGGCAGGGTCTTCCTGTCTCTGATCACTCTGCCCAGCTCAATCACAGACTGCATCCGAGAGACGGCGCCTTCAATGCGCTTGTCAATCACATTCTCCCTGTAAAAACAGAAAAAAATATTGAGTGTCATACTTTTCATGTTATCATATGCAGCACCGAGTGAGAGAATCAGTGTTTGGATAACTCAGTCTATTCTGTGACACCGGAGAGAATGAGATTAGGAATGGGAATACCATCAACTGAAACTAGAAGTGACTGAGCTCTGTTCATTTAAGCCACGTGACGTCAGTCTCCACTCATAACAATAACACATCCTCTTAGAATAAATATACATTATTCTGTAAAACTATGTGTAGGGAATTCTTGGGTGGACAGCAACATTTTTACCGCTAAGAGCAATCCTCATCTTTCGTCAATGGTGATTTATGAAATTAATTGGATTATCTGTTGAGGAAAACACTAGAGAACAGCAGGGTCAGTACCGCATATATAAAAGACAGAGTTCAGAACCATCTATTTAGCTCCACTAATAAGGTACAACAAGACTTCCACCTCTGAATTCAAATTAGAGCTGTTCAGCCACTAATAATCACACATAATAGCAATATTATCCCTAACTATCTGCAGGCACACAGAACTATGCACAATGCTTGTTCATTTACTCGTGGCTTGTGTCTTCTCAGTGTGCACGCCACATTGGAGTAAAACAAGAGGAGTGGGTGGCCAGGGACAACCAATCATTTAATGAGGTGATTGACGAGCGGCTGTTCCCACCAGCTGATTGGTAGCTGACCTTTGGGAGGAAGGTGAAGTACTCTCATTTGACAGCAAGAAGGACAAGCAGCTAATAAAGCATCAGCCCTGAGGGCTGCCTAAGTGACAGGGGAGATTATATGAACCATTACACAAACTATTTTCCTTATGCTAAATCAAATGGATATTTAATCACGTCAGAACTTTTTTATAGTTAAAGATGATGCAATTAAGTTTGGGCAATTAGAAATTCCTCCCAGGCATTACAAAACTGATCAGCCGCCAAGCCACAATTTTTACTGGAGTAATTGAAGTGAAAGGAAATGAAAAGAACACATTTTGTGAGCTATATCCATTCTGCAGGGCCGACAATCAAGAAAGGGTCTGTGCAATTCTGCATGAATATTTCTCAGCCTCTTCTAAAATCTCTACTATAACACTGTCTAAAGACAGAAAAAGATATTACCCAAAAAACCCCAAACAGGATTAGACTCATTTTCTAGAGAAAACAGCAGTGAACAAAAAATTGAAAAAGTAACTCTCGATATCAAAGAGTCTTAGCCGGCTATTCCATTCAAATAGCAATTTTACGAATGATCAAGAATTGTTTTTCTGCTTTTAAAATGTAATGAGGGGCACATTTTTTAAAAAACTAGGGTCACTGTGTTCAATATGTAAACAATCTAAACATTCAAAGATAAATGGATGAAGATGAAGAACAACAACAGGAATTAAGGGACAGAATGAGAAAAGCCTGGAAATTACAAAGAAAATACTGAAAACTTCTCCAAATCTACTTTGAAGAGTTAAGAGTTCAGTACAATTGTGATAAAGTACAGCCACACACTGTGGCTGACCCTGATTAGACTACATAAGCAGTGGATATCCTCTCAGAAAAGGAGCTAACACAAGTGTGCTTTTTGTTTTTGCTGCTGAGTGCCATGTGCCAAGAAAAGCCAATGAACCCAGTTGAACTTGGTTAGATTAAAATGGCTGAAGAACAGATTCAGATTCTTAGTTTACTTATGCACCTAAATTGCAGAATATACTTGCAGCTGGAGGTGGTTCCCCACATTCTTCAATCCTGTTTTAAAAGTTAAGTCATGCTAACCTGCTAGCCCACAGCACTTCCTCTTTTTATGACACCATGATGAACTGCCACTAGCAATGGTAGACCTTTTCTGCTTTCTGGGAGATTTGCTGTGAGCTGGAGGGCCACTCTGACCAGAGCATGGTTCATGTGCTGCTATGCCAAACTAACCAAGACTGCACAGCAGAACAAGGACTACTGCTGCCAAGACAGAAGAGTTACTTCTGTCTTCTGTATTACTAAACGGTCAGCTGATTATCTATATGAAAATGTACTTGAATTATCTGTAGATGAGAACCTGATTTAGAGTACCATTTAATATTCATTCAAGAAAGGTTGTTCCTCATTTCAAATCGTTAAACAATATCAGCAACTTGAATTTTTCATCAATTACCCTCTATTTAGCTCTGCCTGGATCTCCAACAACTATTGATAACTGGATCTGGAACTGAAGCTACTAAATGAACAACTTTTGTCCCGTTCTATGTGATTTCTTTTCTTTTTCTTTCGCCTGGTGTTTTTGTTTTTTTCCCTGAACAGCAGTGACAAAAACAATAGAGTCCCCTCGGCTGCGAATTCTGTTTTTGTCGTATCCATGTGATCTACTGTTGACAGTAATGATAATAAACACATTAAGTGGCAAAAAAATTCCTCTCAGATTACTGAAAGGATTTTTCCAACCTGACTTGAGGCAGCATGAGATAGTGGATGCTGCTGTTGTCCTTCTCTTCGACAGAAGCAGGGTCAATGAGGTGACGCAGATTTTGGTACATCATCTCGGTAATGAAGGGTGTGAAAGGAGCCTGAAGGGGTAAAAGGCAAGAAAGCAAGTACAGAGAGAGAAAAAGAGAAAGAGGAAAATTTATTGGATGAGTGACACTGTAGTTAATTTACATTTTTCAGACAAGAAGGTCTAAAAGTCAGAAGCGCAATTTTTATGTAGTTTTTTTTTCCCCCTTAACTGTCGCTAAAGATCAAACAGAATTGTGCCACTGTGAGTTTACTTCTTATGTGATTCTCTTTTATTCCAACCATGGCTAATTAACTTGCATACCACACAGCTGATCTGTATTGATCTGTGTTAGGATTACTGATTCTTAGCGAGCCTCATGCCTCACATGCAAACATCAATGTGTTATAAATAAAAACTCCTACTACTCATGAATTATTCATAGTTAAGTGTGCACACAAACACACCTTTACAATAGCAGCTTTATGCTTTTATTTCTTGCAAACACAAAAGCACAACCTCACCACAAGAAATTTTCCTCATGCAATCTCTTCTCTCTCCCTCTCTCTCAGTCTCACACACACTAAAACACAGAAAGCGGATGACTCACCATCAGCCTGCACATGGAGAACAGAACACTGAAGAGGGTTTCCAGCGCCCACAAGCAGTCCTCAGTGCCACTCTCGCCCTATAAAGTTCGCATGCACATCAATAAGTTCTTTCCCCTTGGAACAGTAAAAAGATTTAAAAAATGCCCTCGCTGACATTAGCGCATGTGCCCTGAGTTGAAATGAACCAATTGTTCACAAGCACGGCTAAAAACGCACTTCTATAAAATGTTCACAGGTAAAGGATGTGTTAACGATGCTTTTAACAGTAGTTTAAATAAATAATTAATACTATTCATTTAGTAATTACAAGACTGTATTCTGCACCAAATAAAGATGTGATCTCACCTTCAGGCGGCGTCTATTGGTCCTGACGTACCAGTTGGTGAGCATGTCAACAAACTTGACCAAACGAGGCACAACGGTGTACAGGCGGTAAGCTGTGACCAGAAAAAACTGTCAGTCTAATTACACTGGAAAGAGAAACATCATAAATAGTTGCACGCAAGACTTAAGGATATAAGAGTTAGATATAAATCTATTAATGGTGGTGGGGACTCAACCCCTGCTGGTTTAAGGTTAGGATAGGATAAGTCTCCAGAGAATTATGAGTCATTGTCACGTAAAATGACTGAAACATTTGCATGTGTTAAGAGCGTCTGTCTCACCTTTCATCTCAGCCTTGAAGAACTGTATGAGGGACTGCGTGAATGACTGAATCCATTTGTCCATGATATTGTCGCTCTTCTTTGCTGTGTTTTCATTGTACAGGAAGTGAATATTCTCCTCCTAAGACGTAAATACATACAGCCATATATATAAAATCATTGCTCAAGCACAGATGCAAATTAATGCTATTTGGTTGTCTTACAAGAGCATGAGGTGAAGAATTAGAAAACCTGCCAAAAATATGCTTCGTGCATCAATAAGAAAAGTAGAAGCAGCAGTAGTTTGGGCCGCCACGCTTACAACTCAGTCACAGAATAAAAATAAGATGGGAGTCTCCTTGTGACCAAGGAAAACCTGTGGTTACCCACTGATTATGCTGGGTGTTTTTTTTTTGTTTTGTTTTTTTTGCTGTCAAAAACAAACTGCAAGTAGTTTAGCCCAGAGGTAGAGCATGTCACACCCTCAACCTCTGGGCAGTTCAAGGTCATCACACCAGTATCCTGGTGGGAGACAACCTATCTCCAAGCAATCTTGGCTCGACTCAGATTGACTGAAATCACACTCTGACATGCTAGTGAAGGTTTGTAAATAACTTCTATTTAATTTATAAATGCAGACAGACTGCAAACATGTTGCAAACAATCTGAGCCTGCACTAACAAGCACAAGATGCCTGCAACATGTCTCTTTGCCATAATATTCCTATAAAAAGAAAGGTTATATCTGAATTAAGCAGTTAATGTGAATTTCTGTGCATACAACTGGCCAATTCCTCACACAATTGCAACAGCAGACCAATAGATGACTGACTCCTTTTTATTGCTGTTTCATCGTCGTTCTATTGCTGTCTTGGCGTGCCAAAGTCACTTTGAAGATGCCAACTGACTGCAAGTGGTCGCAAACCTGGCCTCCTTTTTTAAGTCACCACTTTAAAGGCAAAAAGAACCAAAGCTCATAATATGCGCAGTGCGAACTTTTTGGTCATGCCACAATCTCCAACCATTCCACCTCTTGTATAACAGCAGCATCATGGACCACATTTTTTTTTAAACAGGTATAAATTGCGTATGAGCACAATCCTTAAATAGAGCTCATAGATGTGGTTAGTTTTATGGGTGATTTGCAGAAGTTGTGCTGTTTTCTAAACTGTGGCACAGTCAGTTGAATAAAATAGTGGTATATCAGTTTGAACATGCTGATGTGTACCATCTACAGGGAAGGAAAGCAGTTGCTGCTGTAGTTTAGATACCCGTGCCATCTCCATGCACAGTGTTATAACAGCAGTTGGCACTAACAAATCAGAAAGATATTAAGAGGCAACTGCTTCTCTGGACAAGTATTATACAGACTCTTGTTTCTGACTGTAAAGTGCCTAAAACAGCCTGATATTAAAATGGTTCAAGAACTAAGATCTGTTCTTTACAATTTCTAAGGTATTTTAAGCGTTTTGGCATTTTTAAACAGACTTGACAGCAGATAGATTGCAGGGAAATGCAGTGAGAGGATGCAATTGCTCTTAATCAAATATGTTGGTGTTCATGGGCTCTAAAGTTTGAAGACACACAGGTGCTGCACTATTTCATCTTTTTGAATCTGAACTTTTAATCAACTCATCCCATTAACAATAGCTTAATAGCACCTGACTTAAAAATTCACAGAACCCACTGTTGATGTCAGTCTAGCTTGAAGTTGCACCTTCATTCATGTTTTTTTTCTGGCATTATTGGGTTCTGGTTTTAAACTTGGATTTAAACTGTACTCCATGACTCTCCCTAAGGACTGCAAATCTAAAAGTCATCACGAACAAGTGGAGAACTGGCAAATCGCATAATTCTTTTTTATATTTAAACTTAGTTATTTCTTAAAGGCAGTTGCAGGTAATTACTATTTTCTTAGGAGCACTATGCCACATAAAGCTACTCTCAGTAAGTATCCCATTATTAGGCAAGTCAAGATACTGAGCAAATACAAATGAATAATAATAATGGGTTTTTTTATATAAATATGCACAGCAGAATCTAGCTTCCAAGTTTTTCAAATTAGGCTGAAATACCCAGCCATCCATTAAACACTAATATAATATAACACTATATATAATACAAGTTATTACTGCAGACTTTGGATTAACAACAAGTTTTTTTTGTGCCAGCAACAACCAAATAATAATTCATTGGCGGATATTTGTAGGAAACTTACGTACTATGAGAAAGTGCTGTGGTTTGTGAAGCAGGAAAAGCTAGAGGAACACTGCAGGAATTGTAAAGATAATGAGTCTGACTTTTGTTCATTGCAAATGTACCTTCTGTAACCTTTGAACATTCTGCACCAGGAAGCGATAGGCATTATACCACGGCAGGAAGACATCCTTTAGCACATCTCGCACACCCTCCTCTTTGAAACGCAGGTTCTCTGCTCTCACTACAGGAGAGTTGATGAGGTACAGTCTGCAGAGAGGGACAGTGGAAGTGAAGGAGGTGGTGAGTGCAGATCAAATATTAGCGACTGACAATAGAGAAAACAGAGAGTATACAGGTACTGAATAAGGATAACCCCAACCAACCCCTGCTGATGGCTTGACTCCTTCACAACCATCTCGAAGGTTTACAGAGAAGGCAAATATCCAGTGACAGTTCTCTGGATGAAAGTGCCTCATGAATGCCACTCGTTACTACCAAAGTATGAAAAGAGTTTCACTTTTGAAAATCTATCTTTCTCAGTTCCATTTTAAATACACAGTGACACAGTGAGCTATCTACAAGCTGAACCAAAGCTATGGTTTAATAAGTTTGATTTATGTTCATTTCTGTCGTACGCCACTTTGGAAGATCAATATTTGTGGATTAGAGTGTGTTCTTAAAACCTAACACAAGCGATTTTCTTTTAAAATTCTGTTAAGCACATTAAACACACACCAGCAGCCAATCAGTGTATGGAGGTATGAGCAAAAGTCTCTAAGCAGCCCCATCAGCTCCCAGCTGCACTGACAAAAGAGTCTGAGTTTTGTCCAAAACACAGTTAAAAATGGAAAAAAAAACTCTCTATAAATGCTAGGAAAACATTATCGGATACTTTCTGAAAAGTACTAAAATAAAGTTATGTGACAGTGTGCATTTTCTCAATATAAAGTTACACATGTCCATCCTGAAATGCTTCAAGGACATTTTGTGCCAAAACCTGTTTTTACCAGCAGCAACCATCACAGTGCAAATTAATTTCTTGCCTCCATTAAAGCCACAGTTGACAAATAACGCATATTAGCGTAATATTCTCTGGCAGGCATCAGCACACTGATGGACATTTTTTTGGGGGGGGTTCTGTAAGCAAGCTGAATGATGATGAAACTTCACGCAACAAGCACTGAGTAATTTTAATAGCAGCAACACTGAGATTCATTTGGAAGAGAAAAAAAAATACAGAATAGGCAAAATCTCCGACTGCTAAAATATGTAGGAGACGTAGTTGTCACTACTCAAAAGTACTAAAAAAAAGTCCTTATAGTCTGTACATCAGTCTGCCTTTTGAAGCTCACTACACCATAATGGTTATACTGTAAGCACTGATTAAAGCCAGAAAAGTGAAAAATGAAGGTCTCAAATAGAATCCGATTGTTGCCTTTTTCCTCTTCATTTTAGCAGCTCTCTCCCCATCAGTGTATATGTGAGCATATGGTGCAGCTGCATAGTGGTTTATTCATTAGGCCATATGGCCATAGTGCTCTTCCTGCTCGGGGCAAAGGAGAAAGAATGTATAAAGAGGGGCATTTGTATGCATGTAATGTGCATGAGTGTGTGTGTAATGTATGTAGGAGTGGGCCCATTTGTATTTAAGCAGACAGCAATTCAAACTTTTTAAAACAAAAACACAAGTGAAGTTAGCCCACACCCTGCCACCGGCGCACACAAGCACTCACGCTTCACAAACACACACTCGCTCACAGAGCTGACCTGAGGGCATCAGCTCCATAGCTCTGCACTATCAGTCCAGGATCTGGGTAGTTCTTCTTGCGCTTGCTCATCTTCTGTCCATCGCTGTGGGATTGAGACAAGCAAAGTTATTAAAGCACGCATGCATTAAAGTGTATGTTGGAAACCATGCACTTAATATTCAAATTAGTCAAGTCCTTCCAGGTCAGTAGGCCGGCGAACATAGAGCTGCACTTAGACCCCAAGGCTGCAGAAAAGCAGCGGCTCTGAAGCCTAAATGCTGCATACACACATCACGCTGATTAAGAGTAAAAGGGGAGAAGAAAAACAAAGATGGGATAAATAGGGGGAAGAAAACTAAAATAAAAATGGTGGTAATGAGGTGAAGTAAATAGTGGATTTAGTGGGGGGAAAGCACAAAACACAATATGTGTAGGGAAATAGAAAATTTCTGCACAAAACGTGCAGGAAAAATAGCCCGGAATATTTGCTTTGTCAGCAAATCCTCTTAAAGAATGAAAACAAATATGAGCCTGCTACTGAATTTTATTCTGTTCCAAAGACCTCAGTTCTCCTCTGTGTACATGAAATATCCGTTGATTACTGGGAAAATGAATAGTGAGGTTTATTTGAGTCAGTCCCAGTTTTGCGATCCTGAAGCCATGATTACTCCTCAGTGCACAATTCTTCAGCTCAAAATCGCCCCAAGTGCGCAAACGAGTTTGCCATTAAGTCTCGAAAACTACACATTAGTGATGAGTTTGTGAAAATTAACATTTTAAGAAGAAATGAATAAGCTGCAAATGGTATTTCAAAGTTATCAAATATCAGGAGACCCAAATACTTATGCAAAAAAAGTGTTATTCTTTAATTAAAATACATTTTACGAGCTCATTTAAAGGAGATGCACTATGTTTACTTTCATTGATTAGTAACAGCATATTTAGGGCAGATAATGAAGAAAATAAAAACGGGTCACCGTTTTGAGTAAGTAAACTGATGTTTTGTTAAGCAGACAGACTTACCTGGCAAGCACCAGTCCATTAACAATGACATTTTTGAAGGGTGGTTTCCCAAACAGGGCTGTGGAGAGCACCAACAGTGTGTAGAACCTACAGTGGGGTACAAAGACAAGTAGGTCAGGGAGACAATAACACAAAATTAATTTGTTCTCTTGGGTTGGACAGAGATTTTAAAATTACACTCTTAATAATATTATTTCATACAGTTAAAAATAAATGTACATCATATTTCAGCAACACACTCATCCGAACTGTATTTCCATCTGCCAATGATCTTTTCTCATGATTTCCCTAAATTAAATTACTCAGGGAGCTCTCTATGTGTCAACTTCATATGTGTCACTCATCAGTTCACTCATTCATCTTCAGTTTACCATCCTCTGGTCTGGTCAATGCCTTCAGCAATGAAGTCTGCTGGGAAACTGTCCTCAAACTCCTTCCTGTTTTCAAAGGGGTAGTGAACCTGAGCGTAAGGCATACTCCCACTCTCGAACCAGCAGTCAAACACTTCTGTGATCCTCCGCAGCACGCCCTTACCACGCCGTGAGGGGATTGTCAGATCGTCGATGCTGTGCAGATAAAGCAGAAAAAAAAAATTAACCAGCAGAAAATAAGAAGAAGCAATTACAGCTGGACTTCTGTTTCATTTTGAGTTTGGTTAGCATCACAAGGCACTTCTTAAACAGATGTGCATTACATGGAATAAGGTTTTGAGGCATTTGGGCTGCAGACCAGAACAAGGATTTTATAGGCTTTCACTGTTGAGAATGAGGTTTAAGAGGAGAACAATGGTAATATAAAGCTGGCTCTTACTGGATTAAGCTTTTTTATTACAGCTTTGGGTAAAAAAGGGTATAGAGTTTTCTTTTCTTTTTTTACTGGTTTACTGATCTGGTCAGATTCAGCCAATAAATAAAATTGGTTATTTTTTGATAAATTAAGCTAACCTGACACAAACAGATGCACCTGAATATTGTCTTAATTATCAAGTGTCAGATAGCAAGAAAGGCCCCAAAACCCGTTAAACATTTATTTATAAGAGCAAGAACAAAAAAACATTAACCCAGGACGTCCAAAGAAAAGTGGATTAAGCAGTTACATAAAAGTGCTTTTCTATTCTTAAGAAGCCTCTTTTTCAATTTACTGAAGGAAGGATGTGAAAAATAAGTGAAGTTAACATATTCTGAGCAGTACATCAGCTCTTATTTTTGCAGGTTGTTATGCAATGCAGGCAAAAGTATAATCTTCAGTATTTGGTCACGCCACATGAGCATCTTTTCATAGTTTTTGGTTTGTTTGTTTTTTAAATAAAGAAAATGATTTCTTTAAAAGGTACATGTTAAGGACTGGTTAGATCAGAATTAACTGTTGATGAACTATGTCACATCCATGGTGTAAGTCATCATCTACAGTTGGGTAGATGAGTCTGAGGCAAAATATTAACCTTGATTTCTATCATGAAGGGCTGGAGTGGCTCCACTCATTCCAAAAAGGTTAGATGAATATAAAAATAACATGCCAATCATATGCTATGGCCTTTGAAGTGACTGGATCTCAACCAGGTGCACACTAATGGGAAATTTTGGACCAACATGTTAAGCTAACAAATTCAGCAACCACCATCAAAATACCAGATGAGTAAAAACATCTTTTTTGAGAAACTGTGTTAATTCAGCTATTAGCGTTCAAGAGATTTGGAGAATCAATGCCAGGGTGCACTGAAGCTGTTTTAGTATGCCTCTAGGGCTAGTTTTTAATGATGCACCCACACTGAGTTGTACCATGGATCCAGGTTTTTGGGTCTTGAGAGATGAAGTGTATTAAAAGTCAGGTTATCTAAAGGTGTGCGCCTAAGGTTCTACTAGATTTTAAGTTTTTAGAAACATTGCAGACTTTTCAGACATTAAAAGACAACATCCAATTGACTGCTAAATGGCTAATCAGATATTCTTTAATTAGAGTCTCTAATCTTGAAAGCTGCTAAAATCATTCAGATTACTGTTACAAACGTCATGCCCTGCATAGAAAAACAAACATGGAAGCTTGGTGAAAGCAAGCCCTTTCTCACTCATCAATTAAAGATGGCCAGCCCTGTGGAAGCGATTAAAGGCAATTAGTAGATGAAGGGCGGAAGAGAAAGGTGATCTATGCACAACAACACCCGTCTGGTTCAGGAAGACAGGTCACATTCGGGGAATCTGATGCAGAATTGAAAAATAAACTTGCACAATGACACACACGACCTCACAAAAAGGTATCACCGTGCGTCGATTCCTGTACAGTCTAAGGGTGTGACTCACTATTACAGTAGTAACACTGAGTACGTGTTCAACTGGATAGCTGCTCATTTGTGACTTACTTTTCCCGATGCAAATCAGTCACTTTGATTCCAGTCAGCTCTTCTAGTTCGGCCATGGATCCAATGCAAACCACCTAATGAGTATCCACACACACAGAGCATATCTTCAGTAAGCAAAAAACCCCACATTCATTAAATTTTTTATAAATATTAGAAAGTTAATCAATTATATAACCAACTGATCAACAGAAGAACATCTCACTTACCAACTAAACATAATTTGATGCTTCTCTGTTTTGAGAATGTACCAACTTTCTTTTTTTCTAGCATGAAAAATGATTACTTTTGTTTTTTTGGTCTGACAAAGAATTCATCTAAATAAATTCAAATATTTCACACTGTCTGAAACCACACTTTAGGCCCTATACACCAGCCCACTGAAATAACAAAAAAGTGAATTTATATAAAGCAGCAGATGTAAGCATTAGATTAAGTGGATAGATGCAATTTTCTTGATGATAATAGAGCAAACAACCCAATCACTTTTTATTTACCGTGCTCCTTCTGTTCAAATTGACTATTATTATTTGGCATACTCCTTTATTTGTTTTCTTACAAATTTTAATTAAAGAAAAAAAACACTGCAGTTGTATTAAGTACAGCTATTAGCAAGCGTCACATTATGTTAGAGAAATACATATTTTTGTTGATTGCAGTATACAATACAGTGCATTTTGTTTAAATCACAGCTGACACAGTTAAACAACTTTAAGTAACAATTTGAGAGCTTTGGTTTTTAAAAATGTAACAAGTGCCTGTTCTCAATCTTCTCTGATAGCAAATTTTACATGTTTGTACTGTTGCACGGAACTTAAAACTAGGCCTACACAGCTCCCGAGTAACTTTACCTTCGAAAGTATGGTAAAGTGTGTTATCTGGTCTCCCCAGAGAGCTAACCTGTAGGCTCCGCTCTAGTTTTACTGGAGCACCAGGTAACATGGCCCAGATACACCACCGTCAAATGCAGAAGACAGAATGATAAAAAAAAAAAAAAAACATACCCAAAAAGCCAGGAACACAGAGCATCAGAACAAAAGAAAACAGCAATGATGAGACTGAAATTGTACTGAAACGTATAACGCTCGCTCACGGCTTCAGATTTGGGTGTGTCATTTGTTGCAGTGGGTGAGTGAGGGAGGCACCAGGGAGTGCGAGTGTTCTGGAAACAGTCAGAGCTATTTCCAGCAAGCAGGTCGCTGGCTGTCCCTCTTTGAGCCAGGGGACTAACACTTCATTTTTCAAATGCTCAAACAACCCAATTCTGACATCTCTATTTGGTTCAGTCTACTTCACATAGTCAGCTGGGTTTGGCAAGGAGCGTCCATAACAAAATGGACACTTAAAGTCTGGCTCGCTTCTTCACTGTCTGCTTCTTTTAACTCATTCATTTATTATCCTCCCCTTTTTTCACCTCTCATTTTTCATTTCTATTCTGACCCCTCTTGCTTGCTGTGTTTTTCAGTAGCTTCTTTACCACCACCCTCTCTCCCAAAAACAGAAGCCATTTGTCTTGAAAGAGCTTTGAAGTTACCTCAACTGGCATGAAAAGAAACCAAAGACATTTTAGTTCATGATTATTTGCTGTTTACATTAATGAATTATTCATGTGTTGAGTTTATGGAGGCACTCTACAATGTGCTTAAGGGTAGCTAACTGCAACACGGAGTCATGCTACACTCTCTGGCTTGACACCATGGTCACCTCGCTCTGCCATGCCAAAAAGTCTCTGCGACACAAGCCTCCACATACACAAATATTTTAATATGCTAAATCATTACAGAGAAACATTTTCACAGAAGCAATTTCTGAGAAGAACTGATTTCTGTAATATTGCAGCCCCAGTCTTTTCTATGATAAATAAAGTGACAGTTTAACTTTTCAATTATTGCCTCTGTTGCTTAGCCCAGATTGAACTCTGAGCGCTACCTCTTTAGAAAAGAAGAACTATCTTGGTATTTGGTAAGGACACAAAATGTGTGATAAAGTATAAAGACTTATCATCAGCATTAAGTACTCTATTAAAGAGTAAGAAGTGCATGTATGTGTTTTCCTGACCTCCTCAAAGTCATCGCTGACCCAGATGGGGATTGGTGTGCCCCAGTAACGGTTCCTTGAAATTGCCCAGTCGCGTGCATCTCTCAGCCAGTTGCCGAAACGCTTCTCACGCACAAACTCTGGAACCCTGCAGAGACACATTAAGATAAGTTTTATAATTAAAGAGAAATACATAAAACAAACAAGGACCGTTAGGCCTCCATGGCCAACAACGGGTTTTTTTGCTCGAGATGACAGACTGCCATCATATCCTTGTTTAACCAAAACTAAAGTCTCACTTTCCCACTTTGTGATATACGTTAAGACATTTTTGATGTGCAAATCATAGATTTTAAGTGATATGATTTCACAGAAAACCTCCAAATAATGAATAAACATAATATTTTGAATACTTTTAGGATGAAAAAGAAATATACATTTATGGCTCTGAATGATATATACACAACTCCCTCTGTAGACTCTGTAAAAAAAAAAAACCGTCAGAGTATAAAAAAGGGAATGTCTGGTGGCTGTAACTGCTACTTGAGTAGGCTCAGAGTATTAAAAAAAAAAAAAAAAAAAAAAAAACACATTTAAAAAAAAAAAATGTATTGTGACATTTATACTGTAACATTTTTACACTTAATAGACATCGCAAGAAACTTAAGACATACATGTTGTCTTTGTACAACAGGTTTTCTGACAATTATATTAAAATGTGCAAATGAGGCAATGCGTCATTAAACACACTAATTAGCATATTAAAAAGGAAAAATGCAGTGAAATTGACGCCTAAATTAGTTCTTTTGATTTAATTTTGGGAAGCAATTCTTCACTCTTGCTGTTATCATTCTGTCGACCCCAACACTCGTTACCCTCTCCACCCTGCTTGTGCTCTCTTTTTCACATCTCTTGTACTTTGTCCGTTGCTTTGAATGGTTGACCCTACGTATTTAAACTCATCCACCTTCACTACCTCTGCTCTTGGTATCATCACCTATCGATTTGTCTCCCTCGCATTCACATATTCTGTCTTGCTTCTACCATTCACCCCTCTTCTCTCTGGAGTATACCTCCACCTCTTCTGGCTCTCTTCCACCTGCTCCATACTCTCACTACAGATCACAATGTCATCTGCAAACATTATAACCTACTGAGACTTCTGCCTGACCTCATCTGTCAACCTGTCCATCACCACAGCAAACAAGACTGGACTCAGTGCCTTATGCAGTCCCATCCCTACCATGAACGCATCTGTCACTCCTCCTGCATATCTGACCACTGCCTCGCTGTCCGCATGTCCTTCAGCAACCTAACATACTTTTCTGCCACTTCAGACTTCCTCTAGCTGAAAATATCAAACTCAAACACTGCTTGTAAAACAATATATTTATTGCCCATAGGATTATAAGGGTCACCTTAATACTTTTAAAATGACATCTAGAACAATTTAATATTTTACCATTTATGTAAACCAGAAGTAACCATATTTCTTTGTCGCCCAGTCGTTCTCCAAAGCGTACAACGATAACTCTTAATGAGATTATAAATTACACTATATTTATTATTATTATTATTATTATTATTATTATTATTTATAAGTATTTGCCTCCACACTCATATAATCTTGAGTGATGTCCCTTTCTTATTCCATAGGGCTTTGTATGATGTTGGCCTACCCTTTGTAGCTTTAACACCTTCAGCTTTTATGGGAAGGCTTTCCACAAGGCTTAGCATTGTGTTAATGGGAATGTTTGATAATTCTTCCAGAATCACATTTATGAGGTCAGACCTTGATGTTAGACGAGAAGGCCTGGCTTGCAGTCTGTGCTCTAATTCATCCCAAAGGTGCTCTATCATGTTGAGGTTGAGGACTCTGTGCAGGGCACCAAATTCATTCATCCATTTCTTTATGGACCTTGCTTTGTGAACTGGTGCTCAATCATGTTGGAACAGGAAGGGGCCATCCTCACACTGTTCCCACAAACATAGGAGCATGAAATTGTCCAAAAATTCTCACCATGCTGAAGCATTAGAAGTTATCACTCCAACACGTCTTAATTGCTCTAGGGTCCAGTAGCGGCATGCTTTACACCACGGCATCTGACAGTTTGCACTGCACTTGATGATGTAAGGCTTGGATACTGCTACTCAGCCATGGAAAGCCATTCCATGAAGCTCTCTGTGCACTGTTTTGTGCAGATCTGAAGGCCACATGGAGTTTGAAGGTCTGTAGTGACTGACTCTGCAGAAGGTTGGGCATTATGCACCTCAGCATCCACTGACCCCTTTCTGTGATTTTACGTGGCCTAGCACTCCATGGCTGAGTTATTGTTGTTGACTATGGAATATTTTGAAGCGTGGAAATTTCACAACTGGACTCGTTGCACAGGTGGGATCCTATTATGGCAGCATGCTGTAATTCACCGCCTTGAGAGCAACGAAGCATACTGCATGCATAGGTTCTTGATTTTAACACCTGCAGCCACAGAAATGATTGGAACACCTGAATTCAACAATTTGGATGGCTGAGTGAATACTTTTGATAATCTAATGTATATTAATATGAAGTGAACACAAAAGCTGTGAAGGACATTTTAACCTAAAATTATTAAGTCATCCTACATTTTGATAAAAATTCAACAGTTACTGAGCTCTGAGTTGATGAGCTTCCCAGCAACTAGAACCAGCAAAACTGATAAAAGTGTTTTCTACCACTTTGATGGTGTAGCCTGTCAAAGTGATGATCATATGTATACAGAGCCTCCTGACACACTGCAGTCAAAGACAAATCCGTTTTGTAACTAACTGTATGGCCTCCAGCAGGGAAGGAAATTTTAAGAGATGTGTAAATTAAATTTTAGACTTGTGAATATCCTCTAAGGTCTATTATATGGAAACTGTATACATTACTCTTCAAGACACAAACTTACCCATACCCTGTATATTACTGTGCAACACAGTCTCTCACAAGAAAATATTATTCCTTGCTGGCATCTTTACTACTCCTTATTTTCAGCCCAGGATATAAATTTAAAACTGCCCCTTTATGAAGCTCAACTGCAAAGGTTAACATCCCCTCCTAGGCATCTTTCTCTTTTCTACCCCTTTTCTGCTCTTTCATTTTTATTTTGCCACCATCTCCAAATCTCTCCCTCTTTCGCTAATTTTTTTCTGTCCCCGTTTCTCGCCGCAGCAGTCTGTGTTGCTTAGGAGAACAGTGCAAGGGGCTATGGGGGGTGGGGATATATTGGCCTCAGGATCCACACGCTAAGCAAAGAGTTCATCAATTCCCATTTGTAGGAGGCATTTCTATTTAGGCTCCTAATATATCAATTTAATGATTTTTTTTCCCCTTTTGCTGCTGCTGTTGCTGCTCACCACCGCCCTCCATCCCTTATTCATGCTAAATGTAGAATTTAAAGTGTCCCATCTTGTGCTCGAGACACACAGAAGACTTATTAGAAAAAAGGGTGGGAGGGTGGGGGGGTTTAAATAAAACAGAGGGACAAGGCTCAACTAATCAGTTCAAAGCTATGTAAAAGCATACTGATAACTGGTGGTTTGACTCGTTTACAAAAATGCTAAATAGTGCAAAGTTCTATTAAAATGATCGAGTGAGCTATTCAGGGTGTTCCCTGGCTATCACTCAGCTTTAGCTAGGATACGCTTTATTGGACCTCTGATCCTCATTAGATAACTAGCTAAGAAAATGCATGGATCAACAAACAGGAATATTAAACTGGAAGGCCGCAGTCACACAGGCCTAGAGACAGGTTGGTAGTCCCCCACACTCTCCAGACTTTAGTCTTTGAGCTGTTTTGAAATTTGACAAAAGTGTGATACAAACCAGAGCACGTTGGCCTAAATAAAAGTTGTTCAATGCACCAGCAGCAAATACATTTGCAGTTACTTTGAAATCGGTAAAGTCGTCGTATTCCATGCAAACTATGGGCAACTGTGGCAACCAGCAATTAAGCAAAGCCACCGCAAGGTTTTTAGTGTAGCACACTAGACTTTGCAATCAATTTTTTCAATAAAGACAAATACTAAGAATTAAGTGTGCCAGTGAGCACATGAATGAATGAACTCAAAGAATACCTGAAAAAATGAAAGACAAAAAAAACACAGACAAGAAAGAAAGGAAAAAAATGAACTAGAAATATAACACTTGATTCTTAATGTATTTAACCCAAGTCTTTTCAGGCTAAGCTGATTACCTATTACGAAATAATGTGCTAAATTCACATGTCAGTGGCCGAGCTGTCTGCTCCTTGAACCTCAAAAGAAATCAGCCACCCTTTGAGCATTCAAAAATTTAGTCGTTCATTTATTCTGACAGACGGGCATCTGGAGAATTCAAACCGAGCTCTCTGAAAAGACACTTAGCCTTTGTCTGAGGTGCACCATTTGAGATAAAATGAACAAATCACTTGGAGAATACATTAACTAGCACTTTAGAACTTTGCTTTCTCAAGTTTTTTTAAGCCTCTCATCAGCTAATATGAACTTTATATAGATGTATTGAACTCTACAAGGACTTTACTTTCATTAGGAAGCTGATGAGCTGGCAACCCTGACTGACAGGCAGACGGCCTTTATGGGACAAGAACTCGAGTCTGAAAATGGAGTCTAATAATAAAAAAATAAGAAGGTTATTTATATTTTTAATATGTATTTATACATAAAAATACATTTAAAATATCAACCTAATAAGAAATCTGCATAAGAATGCAGCCACACTAACACAGCCAAGTTAAAGTTAGTGTCAATGTTGCATGTCGTTCAAACACCTTTTAACTTTTTACTTTTTACTCCAGAGCTAAAACAATTTGACAGAAAATGAAAATTTTGATAAGGAGCTTGTTTAAGTTGCTTTTTGGGACAATGTTTGCAAAAAAAACAACAACAAAAAAACCAAATAAATAAATAAAAAAAATGGAGGCTTACAAATTCTTCACTATTTTCTGAGGACATAACTGAGTAACATAACAACATGCAAATAATAAACAATTTTTTTTTGTTTTAAATCACTAGCTTCAGCACTTACGATTATCTCAGTTGTGCTCATCTATAATAAATGCTAGTTTTGTTGGGGTTCTCATTTTAAACATGCTCAGTACATATTTGAAACGGTTTAAACACGTGTTGATCAAGACATATGATAAAGTTGGAGGCTGCAGTTTGTAATGTGGTGAATAGTTTTACACTATAATCACAGGTGTTTCTATTAGAATCTTGGCCATAACTTATAAATCGTTAGAGTAGTCAAAGCAAGGATTATTCTACTTTACATAACCTTTAGCTAGATGTTCCTAAAAAACCTGCAACACTAGTACCTCTTAGATAAGGACCGTAGCCTTTAAAGTAGTGTGTGCGTTTGTCTCAGCTTCTCTGTATGTGTGTGTCTGGGCGTCTTCACCTTCCTAGCGGCTAGTCATTCATCTCAGTTTGACAGTCCCATTACTGGAGGCAGCTACTGTGGCTCAGAAAAGAGCATTGGGAGCACCAGGGGTAATACCACTTAGCAAAGCCATCATGCTGATGCCTACATTTTCTCCATGTTCTGCTACTGCAATTAGCATCATGCTAATGTTTTACAGAAACCACCAGTCCCTGTTGACTCATGTTAAAAATTCCTTGAGAAAGAGTTTAACGCCATGTCAGATATAGAAAAATACCACAATCAAAACAACTTCTATTTAAAATCTAATTTTTTGCCATTCAAAACTACTATACCCAGTGATAGCTGCTCTGCAGAGACAGTCCAATAACTTGATTTAGTAGTGCAGAGGAGGGCTGTAATTGTTTTGGGACTCTATCTGCTGTCTGGCATGGTTTTTAAGAACACTTGTTTGGCAAGATGCTCGCAGCTGCCACTTCACTGCCTCCAAGCCAGTTATCATTTTTTCAGAAAAAAAGTTACCAATAGCATTTTCCATTGTTGTCCAGTAGATTCTCCACCATGTGCTCCACTCGGACAAACCAGCTGGGGACGGCTTTGTAGATGAGTGGTGTGTCAGATCTGAAAAAACAACAGCAGATTTTAAAAAAAGAAAGAAAAAAAAGGATCAAAGAGGCATACCACATAAACTTTAACCTTGTGTGGTGTTCATTTTTTGTACTTGTGCGAGCGCTTGACAGTGACAGTGTTTGGACAAAAAAAAGAACAAAGTAACAAATAACATATGTATGTATGCATTATTGTAGAGTCTACCTTACAATGTAAAGCGCCTTGAGGCGACTGTTGTTGTGTTTTGGTGCTGTATAAATTAAATAAATCGCATAATTTTCCTTTTGGTAAATACTGAAAATGAAAGACCAAAACACCGCACAAAGGTTAAAATGAAAACTTTACTTATACTCGAAAGTGTATTTTTATTTTGAAGTTGAGACATAAAGCTGTTTCAGGGTCTTAAATCAAACAAAAGGATCCTGTACAATACAGATAATATATTGATCTCATTTATATTTACTGTCAAGCCATAAAATGTAAAAACAATTTATCAATCTTTTTAAAATTATTATTATTATTACTTAAAAATATATATTTAAAAAAATCTTCTGTAAAATACAGGTTTACTTGGTATTTCGTTATCCATTTTCTTTACAATAATCTGCTGTATTTATTATTGGATTTCTTTGGGTGACCTGATAGCTCAAAGGTTATGGCACATACCACATGGATCTCATCCTCTAGCTCAGAAAACCACCAAAGCACAAGTTTTACCTTTTAGGCAGCGAATAGTTCATCCAATAGTTACTTTGATCTCTACAAACTTGTGTCTTCTAAAGACTTAGAGAAAATATCTCTTCATATTTGCAAAGGTTAATTAATCTTAGACCCAGAGCAAACAATATTGTTTGACTGATGGCCCTTAATATAAAGACTTCGGACTTTACGTTTCCCAATTTTTGCTTTAAGTTATTTTGTTATTTACATAATAATGTAGATAACCTAATAATGATCCTTATTGCTGTTTTAGAGGAGCTGTGCTTCAAAGTTGCAGATTTCTGTCAGAATCTGCAGATTATACAGTACAAATAAAATGTTCACGTTTCTCCAACGTTGTCTTCCCAACAGTTTCACTGACATCTACACTGGATGGCCAGGAAGCGTTTGCGATGTCTTATCGGGCGCTTCTCCGGCGCTGATAATTGGCGTCTGTCTCGTGTCAGTGACGTAAAAGGATATGTATCGGATTCAGTACCACATATGAAAGTGACCCAGATCAGATTTGAAAATATCGGATTTGTGCCGTTCACACTGTCACACCATGATCGGATATGGGTCGCATAGGGTTAAAAAAATAAATAAATCGGATTTGATGCGCTTTCGCCTGCAGTGTGAACGTAGCCTTAGTCAATTCAAAAAAACAAAAACCCACAGACTGCTGTGTGTTTCTACATGTGCCTGATGGTTTGTACGTGATGTTGGACTTGCACAGAGCCCCACAAAGCCAATGTTACAGTGAATACACTCAAGCCTCTGTATGAACACCCCTTTCCTGCATACTAAACATTTAACTTCACACATTCTACAACAAAATAAGGCCAGTGGCACTCAAAGAGAAAATATTTCATTGAGTCAGGCTTAACATCTGTGACAAAAATCTCCTGTGTCCAGAAGTTTGAGTTTTTCTTCAACTGGTGCTTTAAAAGCCCCGTGGTGAAAGGCAAAAATTTAAGCTGTTAATTTGAGTGACACAGAAAAGGATGCTGGAGGTAACATTAGCTTTTCAGTTTGAATTCTGTACATGTCTGGTTTACTCCATTCATACAATCCCAACAGAGCACTTAGATCGTCAAACCACAGGCTCCTAGCACAACCTAGGACTCGAATGAAGTCGAGAGGCGACCGGGCCTTTGCATCCGTGGCACCCAGACTCTGGAATAACCTCCCCGTTCATATTCGCACTGCCGAGTCTATCCAGTCTTTTAAATTACGTCTTAAAACTTATTTTTTTAATTTGGCTTTTGATTCTGTCTAGTTGGCTGTTTTAGCTTGTTGCGTTGTTACCTATTGTTTGTTGTCCTCTTTTATTGTTTGTTTTAACTGTCTCATGTTTTATTGACTGTGAAGCACTATGGTCAACACTGTTGTTTTAATATGTGCTACATAAATAAATTTTGATTTGATTTGATGTCTCACCTCCAGCAGAAGGGGTAATTATGTTTGTAGGAGCTGGCATTGACGAGGCGACTGTTCTCCTTCAGCCACTTGATGATATTTTTGTCAGCATCCTGTAACAGAACCACCAAACATGAGACATTGTTTAGAGAATGCTTTATAGCACAGAATAGGGCTGAAGAGCCACATGTCAATGTCATATAGGGTCAAAGATTTCAGCTGGCTAGGCATGGACAGATGTGCACATTTACACTTTAAACTACAGCCAACTGTCATGTCACAACGTACTGAAAGAGTCTGGAGTAGTACATCTGTACATCACAGCTGCAAGGTGAGAAGTTAAAAAATCCATGGAGATCTGCCAGTGCTCTTCAGCTCATTTCAAAGTTAACTTTTATAAAATCACTGTAAGGTTTGCTCTTTGCACCTATGCACAAAAATGAATTAATCAATTAATGAATAAGCATCTAACAGTAAACACACTTCAGAGCATGCAATAATTGTATCTAGATGAATGAAAACTGCAGTGAACGTTTTGTGTTTTTAAGTACACTATTTGTGTCATATCGTCTTTTTAAAAAAAACCTGCAGCACTGTTTTTTTCCACAATAAATAAATATTACATAAATACAATATCTCAGCACTGTTAAACATTTAATAGTAAAAAATAAGTGGCACAATGTCATTTTATGTACTGTATAAATTGACAGAATTAAATCGAGTCCTTATTACAGACCACAGAGAGTATAAAAGACAGACATAGCTTCTGGGCAAGAAAAATGATGTCACCATGGAAAAGCCTTAAACATGCATTGTATCAATCTATGACCACCAGATGGAGGTTGCAGCAAAACCTCTCGTCCTATACAAGTCTACGAGAAAACAGCTGTCTATCCTGGCCTCTGTAAACACTTTCCTCTTGACCTTAAGGGCTCAGTCACTCATTTTGGATTATAGTGAATAAAAAAATTAAGTCAATTTTGTAAATCTTGGTCATATCTGGCAGCAAACTGGAGGATTATCTGTGTTATGAAGCAGTGCATTCATTGGCTAATGAGAGCCACTCACTGGCTAATGGAGATGCACTGAGCATGCAGTTTCACAGTCTCGTCCCCTCCTCTTCACATCTACTGTTTGCTACCAAGAAGATGACTGCAGCTTCGAAGCTGGACTTCACAAACCGACAGGTGACAGTTGCGTCCATTTTTTATACTGTCAAGGTCACCATACAGTGGACAATAGTGAAATAATTTAAAGTTTAGTTCTATCAATTAAGGCTGCAGTAATTCATCGAGTAACTTGAATAATTTCATTATAGAAAGTCATCGGTGCAAATTTCTTTGCTTCGAAAGATCTGTTTAATCCACACCTCCATAGCACTCAGTTGTCACCATGTGAGCAGCTTAATGTGGAGCCAGAGTCCATCTACACAAAAAGGATGAAGAGCAAAGAGGCGGAGCCTTTATTCAGGCAGGCACTGGTGTATTTTTAAAATGGAAACCTGTGAATAGTTCATTTTGAACAACTGCTATTTCTCATTAATAAGACAAAAATACGTTTTTCTCCAATTACTCGACAAATTGAAGAAATAATCAATTGAATACTCTATTACTGAAATAACTGATATCTGCAGCGCTACATTATATTATGCTCCATAGTATTATATCAATAATAACTGTCTCTACCTAACATATTTCACATATCCTAATAGCATGTTATTATGGGATGTTTACTGAGCAACGTTCAGTTTTTACATTTTATTTCTTAGAAGATTTTCAGTACACTTCAGGGCTACCATACCTTTAATACTTGGTGAATAGACCTTGATCAGGGAAATTCTCTGGAAACTTCAATATGAGTATGACTTTTCTTGCAGAAAATCCAAGGTAATTTGCAACCAAGGCCAGTCTACCCATACAACTATGAAAAATGGAGCTCAGTGTTTATGGCAAACAGTCTAATATGGGGTCTTATCATCCCATATTTTATGTCCCTCTAGCCAAGTGCAATTCACAGGATGCTCATAGATACAACTTTTCAGCAAGTGCTTGGCAGGTGGCCGTGACCTCTTTGCAGAGAGTTCCCATGCCAGCCTCCCACCCCTCTTTCACCCAGGGATAAATTTTGTTGTGTCCTGACCCATGCTCATTAAAGCATGACGATACACCTGTGATGGGCACAGGAAAATTGGCACTGAGAGAATGAAATAATTTCACCACCTGGCCAATTCAACATAAATAAGACTTAAGCAGTATGTTATAAAATTACTCACATGCATGTGATTTCTTTGTAATTAATCTGCATCTGATTTAAGGTTCCAAAACGCTCATTTATTTTCTGTTTGTGCATCTTACTTACCCCAGCTACACAACCAAACCCAGTTTGCACAGATGAAAAATAATATAGGGTGAAAGTTTAGATTTGCATAAAAGTTAGTCCCGTTGTGACACCCACAGTATTTACAGTTTATTTACAGGATAATAAAGAATAGAAAATAGCAAAAAAAATCCAAATTCAGTGGGCTTGACTTGGTCAGATGCTGCATTTTATCACCTTTATAGAGAGGTTGCTATAAATGATGAAGGAGGACTGTGAGAACATTATTCCTAAAGAAACACCACATGAGCCAAATCTATTTCTGCATCGTTTGAATTTGTAGTAAATCATAGTAAAAATCTGGGTTTTCTTAAGTGCAAAATAACGGTCCTAACCCGACCCTGCCCTGACACCTCCAAACAAACAGACCAAATTTTATGCTCTGAATAACAAAAATCATGTGAAACCAATCCACTAAAAGACGAAAAGCAAATTATGCATTAAAAAAAAAGACTCAGTCTTCCTATTAGGACTTTGATAAGAACTTGAATGTGGCAAATAATCAGAAACACTCTTTGTAGTGTTTATATTTTTGAATTGCTATGAAAAACAATTTATCCTTTTTTTACGAATGCTATTTTATCAGGGAAAAATTGCATGAGGGATTAGGTTTGCTATGTATTAAATGGGCATTTGTTTGTCTACTCAATTTATTATTTGTAGGAAAAGACAAATTAGGAAATGACAACATGTTAAAGAACATTCATTACTAATATTTTGTATGCACACACTTAAATCTTTATTAAATTGGTCAACATCAGTGTGAATGGTCAACAGTTTTGTCAAAACATTCAGAATTAACTGGAGTTGCTGTAAAGATCAGTCAATATACTACGATTATATATTGCTTTGCTTGAGTTGAGTGTTTCATTTAGAAGACAGACGGGTCCAAAACTTTCATAAAGAGAGACAATGATGGCAAAAAGTGACAAACTGTAGCAAAGGGAAGTGATAACAGAGAAGGTACAACAGAGAAGGTACAACTGTCTTTTCTGGGAAAAGACAGAAGATAAATTTAGCAGGGGTACTGCATAAGCATGAGCAAAGGAAAGCAACGAGGAGAAATGAGGACTCCAAAAAAAAAACCCCAAACATTCAAGAGTTATAGGAAGGCAATGAATAGGAATGAAGATCATTTTGAGAATACATAATATATCACAATATATGATCACAGACAAATAAGGAGTAGGAAAGGGCTGGGTCTTATATCTCAATAAACTGTTAGGGGAAATCCAAAACTACATAAGCATACATATAAGATTACAAGAATAGATCAAAACTCTTCCTTATATGATGCAGGCAGAGTTCATGTCAAAAAATATGTACCCAAAATTTATAACACCTGATTAGTGGAGTCATGTCTAGGCAAAGTGTCAGGAGAAGTGTTGGCATCTGTGCTCAGAAAAACACATTTTTAAAAAGCCTGCAGAAAGAATAAGGGTAAGAAATAGAGTGAACTGATCTTGAAACTCCATGATACTCTGCGGATCCTCTTTGTGACCATTCTTTAAACTCGCCGCTGATCCTCTCCCATGTAATTAGACATCTTTGGGAATTCCCAGCCTCTCCTCTTCTCCTTCCAGCAGCTTCCTGTAGGTTGCAATCTCTGCATCCAGCTTGAGCTTAATGTGCAGCAGTTCCTGGTAGTCTTGGAGATACTTGGTCATCTCCAGTTTGGTATCACAGAGCTGAGACTCCAACTGAGCGATGACGCTGTCTAGGTTCCCCACCTTATCCATGTGGGAGATCTCCATGTCCTCCAGCTGCTGCTCCAGGGCGGCATTGCGAGCCCTCAGACCATCAATCTGATTCTGAAGATCTGTCACCTGGTTGTGGAAGGTGGTGATCTCCTCTTTCATGGTTTTCATCTGTTCTTCATGTTTGCCAGCATGGTCCTTGAGATTGTCAAACTTGGTCTTGTACCACTTCTCTGCTTCTTGGACATTGCGAGCAGCAACAGCTTCTATCTCTGCACGCATGTTACGCAAATAAGCAGCCAGATCAGGGCGATCACCATCCATCTCAGCACTAATTTTTGAGTCCTCAATCTGCTTCATGAGGTCAGCCACTTCTTCATCATGCAGCTTCTTGAGAAACTCTATTTCGGCCACCAGTTGTTCTATGCGCTTCTCCAGCTCAGCCTTCTGCAGCGTGGCATTGTCAACATCTTGACGAAACTCCTTCAGAATCATTTCTGCTTCTTCTTTAAGTGCCAGCTCCTCCTCCAGCTTAAGTCTCCAAACTTCTACTTCTTCTTCGATGTAGCCACGTTCAATATCAGCTGCTCCCTTCTCATTAGTCAGGACCTCAATTAGCTCTCGCACCTCTTTAAATTTGAGCTCGTATTCTTCTCCGATGCCCGTGGGGCCTCCCTTATAGCGGCTCTGCAGGGCAGTTAGCTCAGCTTGAAGAGACGCATTTCTCTGTTCGAGTGCCTGAACTTTCTGAATGTATCCTGCGAACTTGACATTGAGTTCCTGCATTTCCTCTTTCTCATTGGCATGGTGCTGATGTATCTCTGTGCCCACCTCGATGGCAGTTCCATGATAACCCGAGCGTCCCCGACTGTCATAAGAAGCTCCACGGCACCGGGAAGGTGACGGACTTTGAACTCTCGCTCTGCTGGCACTGCTAACTTGCAGACTTTTCTGGCTGTAAGATGCAGCTCTCATGTTGTGTAAGATACCGGCTTTGTTTTTCAATTTACAGAAGAGTGGCTGCTCTTTTGGCTTCTTGTGTAGCAAATATTGCGACTGACAGTCCCCTAGACTGTCTCTGAGTTTTTATGCAGTAATAAAGAATGTCTCAGACACCCTTGAAACTCACGCTACACTTTAACACATTTCAAAAGTGGATTATGACTGACTTTCGGAGAACTGTGGCTGCACACTCTTTATTAGCTAACGCTGTATTGTTAGTGGCCAGGCAGGTCACTCCCTGGCCTTTGCACCAGGATGTGAAATAGTGATGAGATCATATATGAATGCTCTTTTTAACTCATTATTCTCTTAGGACTCTAGTTGGGTGTGACAGACTTGAAGAGGCTACCCAGTGCGCTGGTAAATGACAATGTGCTTTGGCAGCAAGTTTTTCCAGAAGACTGCTCTGACACAGATTCCCTCAACTTCACATTTAGACAGTTTGAGTTAAGAATTAGTTAAAGGTAAAACATTTTATTGCAAGTATAGCTAAAGAGAATATATCTAAAGCATATTTCTAAAGAGGACTAACAACAGAAATTTGGCACATATCATGAAATCTTTTAGAAAGAGAAAGTCTATTAAGAAAAGATGCATTTCCAAGATACAAATGGAGGAAATGGAGAACAGTTGAGGAGTGTGAACTGATAAGGCAGAAAATGAAACACTGAATTAATCCAGCTATCAATAATGTTTAAATATTTATCATGTGTATCATATCAGCGGCTCCTATTGTGGGTAGAATACATGCAATGTTTGCTAACCTAATCTGCATGTAAATGCATGAAGTGTCACTCACTTTGACATACTGTCCCACAAAGTCAGTGACCTCTGAAGTGAAGCAGCCCGAGGCGTCCACAGGGCAGATAGGAGCCTGGTCCTTCTGGATGATGTTGTATTCAGTGCACACCCTATAATCATCCTACAGAGAGATCATATTACAGTTTAGAGATGGGTTTGTCTGGCATCTTTATTATCAATACAGTCTTCTGTATTATACCTTTTCACGGCTGTTTTTCTTAGATTTATAGTATACATATTATTTATTATTTTACAAATACAATTTGCACTACCCTCTTGCACAATGTCAACTACAGTTTTACTTTTGTTTTTTTTCACTGTATATATAAACGTTTGCATTGCCTAGTATAAGGCCCGTATGCAGTGCCTGTGGCACTTTTAAGTTAACTCTGTTATTTATTTATTGTAGACTGTACTGTTTTTGTTATTTATCCTGCTGCTGTAACAAAATAATTTCCCTTGTGGGATCATCTAAAGTATCCATCTATCTATGCTTCCATCCATCCATCTAATCTCTCTCTGTGTGTCACAAATATCCACTTATAACAAAGTCACATGTAATGAAAATGTAAATGAAATAAATTAGAGTACACAATCTTAATGTTGATCATTTCATCTTAAGCTCATTTTACAATTCCATTACTGCATATAGGTGCAACCAAAAGTGAACCCAGTTTCGACAGTGTAAAGATATGTTATGACTCCATATTAAATTCCTTGTTGAGCTGGATACTTTTTTGCAGTGTTGAAACAAGCACTGCTGGTATGTGACAGCTATGCATGAAAGATCTGAGCACTGTCCGGCTGCAGATGTAATTTGTATTCAAACAGCCTGTCAAAACCCAAGACAGATGTGTCACATGGTCATTTCACATCTAGTCATACAATACAATTTGAAGAACGTAAATTGACAGTTCTTTCCCTTTTACTGTACAACTTCAGAGCTAATGTGCTTGTTTTTGATATGGTATTATTAACTGAAGAAGATCTTTTTCATTTTTTTTGAAAATCAAAATTATTGTGACAACTAAGTAAATTAAAAAATTAAATGCAAATTTAAATGAGATGCTAACTACAAGGGTGTTGTTAACAGTTCAGAGATTGCTGTACAGAAAGCTAAGACAGTTGGTTGGTATTCCAAGCTGGCTATAGCCACTGGGGCACTTGTCTACCCTTGGCAAGGCCATCTAACCTATTAGCAATGACCCAATACATCTGATAGCACTGCTGCATTGGACTCAATACACTGATACCATAGCACTCAAAACAAACACTCCTCGACAACAATATACCTCAACTTGAAATGAATTTGAAAATGTGTGTGCTCATTTCATCTCATCTTAAATGCATACATTTAATTAAAAGAATTTAAATTATCAGGCAAGAAACACAGCATCCTACATCAAATAAAAACACCCAATAAATCCACATAAGATGTTGACGCTCATAAGATAATTGTTTAAAATAGCATCCCAAGAATCTATGAAGTAACTCATCAGTTGAACCTTTAATTTTTCTGCTTTTTATGATTACTACAAACCAAGAGCAACACTTCTTTAACATTTAATTTTACTTTTTGCAGCTCCCCCTTATGTAATGAGCATTGCATGTTGTCACAGTTGCATGATTTTAGAAAAGATCCTACTTACAGCTCCAAAATAAGGTGCCTGGTGGACCACTCCGGTGCCCTCTTCCTCTTTGACATAGTTATCCGTCAAAACCTGGAAAGCTCCTTTCTCTGAACACTGAATTAAAAAAATGACAAGATATTAGATGAAGGGTGAGGACAGGGTGAGTAGTACAGCAACAATACAAACTCATGGATGCATTTAGATGTAAATAGAGGTGTCACTGTGCTGTGTTAATTAAAGACAGGCATACTGTTTAGTTTCTGAAAAACATTAGACATAACTGTGAAACAACCAGGAAGAAAAAATGTACTAACCTTTGCAAAGTACTGGAAAAGAGGCTTGTATTTTTTCCCTTTCAGTGTCTTACCAGGAAATCTAAAAAGCAAATAAAACACTTGAAACCTTCCTACAATAACTTTAATTCATAATTACTGCAGACACAAACCAGCAGAAACGCTGTACCATCACAGCTTCACAGGACAAAAGACGTTTCCTCATATTGATTCCACTTTTTAAATCCAGACACCAGTTTGTTTTTCCGCACCGAAATCTTTCTAAACAGTGTCCCTCCAACTGTTGAGCTCGCACAAAATAAATGAGAAGAAAGGAGCTGAACAACATGTTGATGGACTTATCTCAGTCACCTTGAGCTAGAACTGTGAGCAGTAGCTTTATGTAATGGTGTTTAAGCCTTAGAAGCAGCAGAGAGTAATTTGAGGACGTTCTTAGCCTTGAATTTCACCTCTCAGACTCACACCAAAAAATTCAGACAAATCATCTTTACGATACAATTTTTATAACTTATCTCACAGTAAAGGATAGACGTTAAATGTTTTTCTTTTTAAAAAGGGAGGTGATTTCACTTGGTAAGGACAGAAATTGCCTCAGGATCTTTGTGAGATCTCCATTTAAGGGCTGCGTTCATATTGGCAGCTGAGACAGTCCCGATGCACCGTTTCTGTAATCATAGTTCAAATAAAGGCGTCTGTGTTTAAGGGTTTTGTCCTTGTGGAAGAAGAAGAGGAAGGACATTTTTTTTGTCTTGTTTACATCACCGGTTCAGTTATCTGATATACAGGATGAGAGGGGATAAATCATGCCTAGAAATTTGCTCCATCAGGTTTCAGTAAATTCTGTAGTCTTTATTCACTCACTTGTTTTCGTCATCTCACTACGCTTTATTTTTTTCTGCTATGTGCTTTCCCTGTGCTCCAGACTCATCCAGTGAGCTGAGAAATTGGAATTGTTCCCCTTTCTGCTGCAAAGAACAACACTTAGCTGGTAAAATACAACCTCTCCTAATCTGGCTGTTACAAATTTTAAAGTCATAACTCAACAAAAAACCTTTGACAAGAAACATTAAATACAAGTTTCTTACTCGTTGAAAAAGGCAGCAGCTGGGTTTCAAGTACAAAATGTTAACATTACATAAATAACTATAATTATATAATAACAACTATATTTCCAAAACAATCATGTATTGCTATCTAGACTTTCACTTCAACTTTTTCCAATTAAATTGAGACTAAAAACAAAAAATAAAAATCTAGAAATGCTTCAGTAACTACATAACACAACGCGGTTTGTTTCTCTTTATTGCTTTTCAGAAACATTTGTCAGCTGAAACAGCTTTAATTTTGGAAAGCAAATTAAGGCAACTAACGTAAGTCATGACGCCAGCAATCAGGACACAAATCTAGAAATGCTACTAACAAAAAGAAACAGCAGCTGCTGGCTCGTATTTTGTGTACCCTTTATTCACAGCTCTGGTTGCAGCTGACTTCTTGTTAATAAAGTAGGACTGTATTGTACAGTATATTCACCTAAGGGAAATTACTTCCCCAGTAGCTCAGCAACAGACCGCTGCACTTTGGTGCCAACAGACTGAAGTGTACACATTTTTAAAAATGTAATCCTTTGAACTTTTTATCTTTTTCTTCACTTATATAGCCTTTGTACTCACTTGTCAAGGATAGTGTACTCGCTCTCTGACTTAAACAGAGCCCCCAGTCTGGCCTCCATCATGATGTAGGTCTTGTGTGTGGTATTATCTAAGAGACAAAATAGAAAATCATGTTGGTTTTTAGTTTTTTTGAAATTTTCTTGCTATTTTCCCCATCACACCTGTAGAGAGCATCAATCCAGATAAATCATTAACCAAAGACTCCTTTTACCAATAAATTTGCTACTGTTAAATGTAGGCGCACTTTAACCACAAACACTTTCAATGTCAGGCGATAGAACGATGTAGATTTGCAATGACTCAACAGTTATTCAGGCAGCTGACTGACAAATTTTTAGTTTATCTACATCTGAAATGGATCACAAATGGTCATTCATTAAGCAAAGAACCTATAACAGCAAACTTCATATCTTTAGGCGTGCACTGCTGGTCAGCAACAAAGATTTCTGAGGATGTAACTAGTGCATTTTCTTCACGTGTAATAACACTATTAACATAAACATCTTTATTTTTTACTTAACAGTCATTTAGAGCATTGGGGATGTACTCCTATAACTTGGAACTAATACACACATAATAGACAATTACATTTTTTCACACTAGATTATGGCAACAGACTTTTTACTTTCATTGCTCAGTCCTCTCAATAGTCCAGAACACAGCAGCTAGGTTGCTAACAAATTAGCCGATGGCCACACATCACCTCTGTTCTTGCTTTTTTTCATTAGCATCCAAAAGGAAAAAAGGAAATGCAGAAATGCACTTAAAAAATGTTTTTTAATTACATATAAAGCCCTACACGGCCAGGCTCCTGTATGTTTAACGGACCTGTTGAGACCTTATTACAGCGATCTGCCTCACCAGTCACCAGCTCGGGGCCTTTTGACTGTTCCACACTGTGATCGCTTAATCTTAAACCTCTTAATCTTTAATTTTGGCTAAAATTCATAATAAATGTACATAAGTACGTATGTATAAACAGATATAAGAACTTACGCTTGACTGTGTGCAACAGCTAGTTATTTATTTTTTTCCATCATTACTCATTCCCTCCTTTTTTTGTGATGAAAACGTGGCTGTTTTCAGCTCTTCATCACACCATCTTTGAACATTTAGCAAGTCCAGAGCAGACCCATAAATTAGATAAATAGAACTGGGGAAAAAAATAAATGAATAGTAAAAAGATACGACAGTGAACCTGGTCTTCCAGTTGCTCAATCTCATAGTATAAATAGCTAAAAATGAAACCAGGTCCCTGTTGCATTTTCCCCTTTTTCCATATAGTTTTGAAATCTCGCAGTATGTATAATAAAAGGGGAATGACAAGGCAGATTTCTATGATGTGATGCGTGGGGGGTATCCTGGTGATTTTTCAAAGTCTGTCATGTAAATAGCCACAGCAGCAGGATTTATCCTTATTGACCTGAATTTCAGGTGATGATAAATAGCAACTCATCCAACATGGCTCAGATCCATTCGTCTCATAGCTGTGCTGTATTCATGTCTGAAGGTCGATTTGTGAATAATAATAGTAACAGTGATGTAACATCTTGTTTCTGATAGGGTCCATTATCATCATCATAATAATAATGATAGCTGTCATACAGCCGTCACTGAGGGGGGAGAACTGAACCTTCTTCTACATACAGCCAAAAACAGATTGTAGGAAACATAAAAAGACGAGTCCCCAGTAACAGCAAAGATGACACTTGTGAAGAGGGCAAAAACCAAATGGCCTGAGACACTGAGACACAAAAAAGAGCGACAAGAGGGCAGCATCAATAAAAGATGTTTCTTCCCCTCAGTCGTGTGACAAATGACTGCACAGCTCAGACCTGCTGACAGCCCCCAACTCAAACAGCGACAAAAGCAGCGAGGGAAACAGGCAGACGTTAAAAGAGACGGACTGAGAGGGAATAAGCACAAGGAAGGACGAAAACAGGTGGATTTGAAAGCAAAGAAAGCGATAAGAAAAGAGTAGGAAGAACTGGGATGAAGATCGAGTGAGTGAACAAGGAGAGATAAAAAGAGACTGAGCTGATAAAAAAAAAAAGACCACATTCATTGGTATTCCAAGGCGGTCTCCCATGCAGCACAGGCGGTGCAGTAATGATAACAGACTGTGCTTCAACACTGCCCCCTACAGTATCATCTGCACTACGCCAAAGTAAAAGGAATCTAGGTCATCCTTTTAAAAACCCACCAGTTTCTCTCATAGGGAACCAAAACCTACAGCAGGAGGGTAACAGAAAAACAGTAGCCACCTCTCTTGAGTATCGTTTTTTTATATTTGAACAAGGACAAGGCTTTTTTTGAGTGGCCTGATTTGAGATTCAGCCACATTTTCAGGTTTGAGCTACACAATGTCTCTCGCACACACGCACCCCTACCAGCTAAAGCCAAAAAACACATCTTGATACATTAAAATAGGAAAAACAAGTGTTAATAATTAATTAACCCTCTAATTATTGCAAAAGTTTTGTATTTTTGCATTTAAAAAAATTGGGAAAAAATGCCTACTTTGTTTCATCAACTAGCTTTCATTGGTGTAGCTCTTTATACAACAGCCATGCAATTAATTAAAATGAATGGACTGAACAAAATAACAGCACCGCAAACTAAATCATGACAAACAAAAACAAACACTTTTTCTGAAACTTCCATCAACCCCTGTGACCTTCAAGAAAGCAGGATTTATTGTAAGAATGTTGAATTAGACTTCTGCATTAGTTTTCATTAAGAAACTGGAAAATGGGTTTGTGTACAGTATTGTTGTTCAGCAGAATAAAAACTGGATTAAGGTTGTTAAAAATGTGTCTTTTAACTATAGTAAACAAAACATCTGTAATATATTAAATTGTAGTCTAGCTGTACTCTCTTTTTTTGCAGACTATAGAGAAAGTTTTCTGTTTAAAAGTTATTGCTTAAAAATACTTTAATGCCTTTACTTTAATGCATGTTGGCCATTAGCACAAACACTCTTATGTAAGATTCTGTTGTTTAAACCTGAAAGGAGCAATTTAGGTGGGTGATTGTATTTTCACTTAAGGATAAATCCTGCATGATCATAACTGATGTTCATGCAAGTTACTGCCTGTGTGTTTTGTTTGAAGATAAAAACAAAGTTCCAGTCACACCAACACATTACGGATCCATTATTTCCTACGGGTGCAATTTGCAAAGGCAGCACTCCTCTTCAGCTAATTTGTTCTTGTTTGTTCTTTCTGAATTAAAAGAAAACAAACATCTATCAGCTGATACTGTGGTCCAAAACACTAAAGCCACAAGGGAAACAAGATTTTCAGTCAGAAAAGTTTTGCCTCAGGCATCAGCATTTAAGCACTATCATTTAACAAAACTAGTTGTCCTGAGTGGTGCACTGCAAAGGAAGATTAATGGGTTAGAGCGGTATGTCGAGCCTGAAGCTAGAGTTTTCAGCAGCACAAAGGTGGCTGTTATTTGTTTTCTTTATTTAACCTGGCTAGATTACGAAACAACTTCACTAAACACAGCTGGCCTTAGCTGCCTTTAATCACCATGTTCCATGATTCTATCATGGCGATATGATAAGAGTGAGAGAAATTTTCAGCTGAAGGTTACATATGCTGAAATTGCTATGCCGTATACTGCTAATGTCACAAAATGAGACTGTGCAGTTAACAGTTCCATAAACTAAATGTGTCACAGTGCCACTGGAATTTATATGCATTCAGTAGATCAGTGTTTCCCAACCACTGTCCCGCAAGAAATGATCAGGTGTACCGTGGAAGATTATGTGGTTTCACCTGACTGGTACTCTAAGCGACCTGCGTGAGGAATGGGCAAAACAATTACATTCTCTTCCGCTAGAGGGCAGTACAACCTGTTGTTCCAATTAAATAGGTTGCCAACTGCCAGTAAACAGAAGAGGACATGCTGCAAGTGAGATAACACTGAGCATAATAGCAATAAATAAATATTTGAAAAGAAAAAGTAGTCAATCTGACCTGTGTCCTGGAGAAAATTTCAACCCAGATGAAGGCCCTAGCAAGAGTAGTGGTCAGAAGAAAGCAAAAAAGGTATACTGGGGACAAACCGCTATGCCTGGTGCATGGAGAAAAATCATCAATATGCTTTTGGTGACATTTTTGTTTGCCATGTGATTTCTCTACTGTGAAATATGTGCCGTGGCTCCCAAAGGTTGGGAAACACTACAGTAGACGATACAAAAAACGAAAACATTTGTTCTTTAGACTCTTAATTCTCCTTAGCCGAGTCTGTTTTAGGCTAAATTGCTGATAAAGCAACTAACATCTATTGGCATTCATCACAGGGAGAAATCGCTCACTCCTCACATAAAACAGAATCATTTTTGAATGCACTTTCACTTATACTCAACTGTATCAATCATTAAGAGCACATATGTCATGTTATCAATAAATGATAATACCAAGTATGCATTAAGTGGTAAAATAAATATACTGATCTACCAATTTACAAGATTAACTATTTTCTGCTGCATTCCTCGTTTACATTTTTACAGTTACAGTGTTGCTTTTTGTCATAATATTTTCTCTCATTTTCTTCATATCTCTCCATGACCTGCTCCTCTTTACTGTAGCATTTAGTAATTGGCTGAGTTAAAAAAGTGTAAAACCACTGATTGTAAGAAACGAGGTGCATAACTGCAATGACTTGAAGAAACAGCAACCCTTGTAGCGTACCTGGTTGCAGCACACGACGTGTGCTATGTTCTTTGCTCACCTTTGACCTTGACATAAAGTAATTCTGGGTTCACACACAGGGCCAGGTTGCTCGGCAGTGTCCATGGTGTGGTTGTCCAGGCAATCAAAGCAACATCCTCATTCTCAACCAGTGGGAAGTTGACAATCACTGAGGGGTCCTGAACATCCTGGAGACAAGCATTAAGCATAGAAACAAGGTCAACTTTGTTTTAAGAAGTACAGTACCTGCACTTACAATAGAGGCAACAATAGCCATGTTACATTACACCAGCAAATATGTAAAGAGGTAATGTTCTGTGCCAACCTTGTAGTTCTGATTGGCCTCAAAGTTGGACAAGGGGGTGTTGCAGGCAGTGGAGAAAGGCATAACTTTGACACCTCGGTACACCAGACCCTTGTCATACAGCTGTTTAAAAACCCACCTGAGAGAAAGAAAACAAACATTTTAAAACAAAAAAGAAAACATCAACTCCACAAAACGCAACAAGTTTCAAAGATTCTGTGTCTAGTAAGTTAAATTGCAACAGTTTCACACATGAATACATAAAATTGTTAGCTTTATCTCTCTGGTAACAGTTAAAAATCGTTCAGACTGATTTCCCACATAGCATTCATCAAATATGACAGAGCATTTATGAAAAGAGTCAGGTCATGGGCCAGTGGTGAGAAGAAATGAGAGAAGGTTAAGTTAAAGACCATTTTATATTCTCCCACAGGCTGTATTACTGATGAATTTCAAAACTTATTTTCCTGCTAAAGCCTTTAATTAATAACCAATATGAGTGCAAAGGGATGCTCATCCTCACTTCTCACAGGGAATCCATAGATATATTTTGCATCAAATGCATCATCTATTATCACCAGAGAGTGAATTCTGATGCAAGTATTACAATATATAACAGTGCACAAGCACTGCATACAAAGACATTAAGCTGGGACTTGCACTCTTCTACATTTATCTTAATATGCAATAAACTACGAAAGCTGTGCACAATGTTATGTGAACACAATGTTGTTTTGACTGTTCACAAACCTAAATGTGTAGAACAGAGCATATTTCCTGCCCTCAACATGGCTATTTAAATGTTACAGAGGAAGTCTTGACATTGAGCATCTGAAGGAAGAAAACAACTGACTAACACAAGCTAAACATGTTGCTTTTTTCACTTAATACAAGATATTTTGACTTGAAATAAGTGAAAAGAAATCTGCCAATGAAACAAGTGAAAATTATTTAGTTTTTCTCTAATTACAAGATTCACTGTCTTGAAACAAGTTCATATAGCTTACTGGAATGTTGCTTTGTAGCTGATTTTGTCTTATTTTAAGTGTAATGAGATATTTTGACTAGAAATAAGACAAATATACTTGTTAAGATTTTGAGTGTACATGCAGAGGGCTCTATATCCATAAATAACTTTCATTTTCAATAGCGTGCAAATCTCTTGAGCCACACCTCGTAGTGTTTGCATGCACTTTTGTCTTTAAACACAAAAGCTTAAAAGGTTTTGAATGAATTCTGATAAAACTTTGCAGGGTTGTAGAGTGGGGTAAAGTTACTTGTTAAATTATGTATTGCATCCACCAAGGTATTCAAGGTCAACTCAATAATTTGTTGGTTAAAAATTGACAAAAAGCCTTTTAGTCGTAGTTTCTTACACCTGCAAGTTGTCTGTTATTGTCAATGTTGTTATGTCAAACTTAGAGGAGAACCAATTATTTCAGATTCTTTGAGAAAGAGCAAATTTTAGATGAAAAATCGTGTATCTCAGCATGCTGTAAAGTGTGTCCTTAAAATTTTATGGAAAACCCGAGAGATGCATCTGTCCCTCTATCTGCTTTTCACTGAAGCTTCATCAGAAATGCTCTCAGTGGAAGGATAGCTGTCAAGAATCTACTCTTAAGGAAGGGAAACATAGAGAAAAGCCTGGGGTATGCCAAATTGCACAAGAACTGGACTGAAAATCAGTGACAGCAGGTCTGACTGAGTGAAGAATCCAAACTGGAGATTTCTCCTCATCAATATGTATGGAGGAGGTCAGGAGACAGGTACAACAGTGAGTGTCTACAGTGATTTGTAAGACACGTGGAGGTTCTGCCATGGTTTGGGGTTGCATTTCAGCCAGTGGCATTGAAGAGCTTGTCGAAATTGATTGAACTATGAAGGCTGCAAAGTACTGTCACACCACCATGCAATACCACCAGTAAAGCATGTGATTGGCAACAGCTTCATTTTCATTCATTACAATGATCCCAAACATACTGCCCACGTAGTAAAAGCATAGATGGATAGAAAAAAAAATCAGAACATAGAATGGAAAAACAAAATATTTTGAGTGTTCAACTGGAGTAGAAAAGCACTATAATAAGTATCCATTTACCATATCAGACAACATTACTGAATTGGTGTGGGATCACACTGACACAGAACACAACAAGCAATTGTTTAAATTCTACAACATAATGGTCAAGTCTCACTGAATGTATTTTGGGATTTTGCAGAAGCTGGTGCAACCAGATCAGTCTGATTACTTCGGTTGGCTAAAACAAACAACTGCACTGTCACAAAGCATGCAGAGAAAAAGAAACCAAAAACTCAAGAGTACAGCATATATTTGCAACTTAATGCCCGAATAGTCAGGACCTAACATGAAGTAATGGTTTGTGTGTCTGACACACATCATGCGTGTTGGTCTTATTTAATGACAAAGCACCCCCTCTCAGGATAAATCCTGTGTTCTGCCTGAGCTGTCAGATTTAGCCAGATAACAGCTACCCAAAACCTCAGAGACCCTACATAGTCCCCATAACTATACAGATTCTCTTTCAGGTGCATTTCATTGATTTGCACTGCTCTTGGTAGATTCTGCTGCTCATTGTTGAAATAAACTGGCTGCATTTGTGTTCAGAAATTTGCACATTGCCAATCCAAAAGCACCCTTCCATAGCCCCACACCATGTTTTTGCAATTGCTGCAGTCAAAACAAGTCTTTATAAAAACGTGCATTTTTCCCCCTTTTTACATACATACCAGACAGTCTCCATGAACCATGGGTAAAGGGTCTTGTAGTCATTTTGGAAGTCAATCCATCGTCCCATTCGCTTTACTGAAGCCTAGATACAATTACAAACGCACGTAAAAATGAAAAGAACAAATTACCATGGTAAATATATGCAGGGCGATTTGTTATAGATTTTTATGATATGAATTTAGATGTAACACATATTTACAACTACTTTAGAAGGTCACTCGTTATGCAGGCTTACAAATGCCAAGAAATTCACCACAACATTCAACATGAACCTAGCCCAACTATTTAGTGTAAACTGTGTTTTGCTCTTAGTCAGATACACTGGACTCACCTCCCACTCGTTGGAGTATCTCATTACAATGCTTCGGCATTGCTTGTTGTACTCAGCAATGCCCATTTTGGCCACATCTTCTGGTCCTTTGATCCCCAAAGTCTTATCAATCTCATACTCCTACATAAAACACACAGAATTTGACAAATGCTAAATATTAACGGACCACATTGTAACATTGAATTGAAACATTAAAAAGACAGCTATGGCAAATTCTTACCACAGGTAGGCCATGACAGTCCCATCCAAAGCGCCGGTCCACATAGAAGCCACTCTGGTGGTAGAAGCGAGTAACAATGTCCTTGATGGTACCAGCTAAGATGTGACCATAGTGGGGTAGACCAGTGGCAAAGGGAGGTCCATCGTAGAAGGTGTACCTGGTTTGAGAGATAGGTAGCAAATGCAAATTTTGAATACTGCTATGTGGAACAGCATTTTTGTTAACTGGTAAAACAAACTCGCAACATGCTATACATTTATTTATACAGCACACAGCAAATAAATCTATCAATACTTAAAAGAAAAACAAATCATTTAAGACCAATAAAAATAATCAAATGAAAAGGCACAAAGTTTTAATATTTAGAGAATAATAAATCATAAAATAATAAGAGAGACACATTAGGGAGAATGACACTGTAAGTCAGAATCTGAGAAAGCTATTAAAAAGAGGTATGATTTCAGCTGGTATTTAAATACTATTAGTAGGTAGATGACCCAATTCCAGAGTTTTAGACTTGGGCTGTATGAGACAATCTCCGGTCAGGAATATGAGACAATAAGGAATTTGTAATTACTAAAATCTGCTTATCGCTGGAGTGAGCAATGTGGGACACAGGATATCTGAGTGAGATATCTAAGTGAACGACATGGGTCATAACCTGGATCATTTTCTTACAAGCACTTATATATGAGTAATAATATTTTCACGAAAAGCCAGTGTAACGATTTAAAAACAGGCAAAATATGATCATCCTTCCAGGTACCAGTCAGGAGTCTAGGAGCTGCACTTTGACACACCAGTAATAACAACTGTGATATTAGTGTTTTTGCTCAATTCAATATATAATGAATTACAGTAATCCAGTCTCCATGTAATTAAAGCATAAATAACCTTCTCACAGTTGCTGATGAAAATAAATGTTTTAACTTTAGTTAAGAGTGTAGATTGAGAAAAGCTTCCTGATTTGATCTGCAAGTCAAATTTAAAGAATGAATATGAAAATAACACAGATATGATCCTAAGCTATGAAAGAATAATGGAAAGTGTAACACTTTACTTTCACTTTTACTTTCATTACACTTTTTTTGAGAGACAAGTTTTAACCTGAGGTAAACAACAGGTTATTTTCTTAACCACTTATCCAGTCAAGGTCAACGAGGGGCTGGAGCTGACTCCAAAAACAAACAAACAAACAAAAAAAACCCCAAACATACAGATACAAGAAGAATATGCAAATTTCTAACAGAAAAGGCCCAGCTGATAATCAGTAGGGCTGAACGATATATCGCATTTGCGATAATATCGCGACATGATCAAGTGCAATTTTCTAACCGCAAAGGCTGCGATTATACTCTGGACATGTCCAAATTCATGGGCTGCAT